AAGATAAAATGTGCCTTAAGAAGGCTGGAGGCGATGCTGAAGGTGGCCTTAGCCTGAGGGCGACTGCTTTCTCCTGTGTTCTGGGAAGCACGGGAAGGTTGGAAGCTTGGGGACAGGAGACTGACAGGTACTGCTCAGTATGCTTGATGAGACCCTCTTCTGACTTTGGCCGGATACTTTCCTGCGTTTTAGGTTGTTTCTTCTTTTTATAGCTAAGACCAGATAAGAGCTGGGGCTGACAGCACATCTGTCACACTCCACATACCAGTGCTACAACCCTCAGAAAGCCACACTCAGCAGTGTGCTCTGACCTCCTGTCAAGTGTCTTTCACAGCTTTCCCAGAGCTCCCTGCATTAAAAAAAAAAAAATAAGAAATCAATTTGCTAGATAAATAGCTGGAACTTTTATGTTTAACTAATCAAAGTCACTCCCCCCCCCCCCTCCGTTTTGGTTTTAATTTTTCAAGTCAGGGATTCTCTTGTAGTCCTGGCTGCCCTAGAACTTGCTCCTGCAGACCAGGCTGGCCTCCAGCTTAGGGATCCTCCTGTCTCTGCCTCCCGAGTGCTGGGATTAAAGGCTTTGCCACCACACCAGTCTATGCTCATTTTATAGGAATGAAAAATTCACCTTCCCAAAACTTTGCAAGAAGCTGTCAGGCCCTTGCATTCTGACCAGCCCCGTGTGTTGTGGTGCAGGTGGGCAGCTCCCTCTTCTCCATGGTCCTCTGTATTCTGTTATCAAGGCTCTTGTGTTTTCTGTCAGCCCTCTGGGGCAGCTGTGGTCCTTCCCAGCCCAGGGCTTTTGTGAAGGTGTGCTTGTTTACCTGGGTGCTTGCTCTTCCTGCTGCCTTCCCTCCATGCTTCTTGGTACTTTCCAGGTCACACTGGCTGCTGGGCCTTTCTGAGAGGCTGCTTCTGGGGAAAAGAGTGGGATTTGAAAAAGAAGACTGGATTGTGTTTTAAATCACTTGGCAGATTAATTTCAGTAGCCTGAAGAGAAGCAGAAACTCCTGTGTGAGGAGAGTTTCTATCCCATTGAACCCAGCCGCCTGGCTCCCAGCCTGGCCATGTCTGCCATACTGAGGAGTGAGGTGGGAAGTCAGGTTTCAGGACAGGTCTTTCAGGGATGTGTCGGTACAGGCCTGCAAAATGCTTCTTAAGTCAGGGTGATGGGACATGCGACTCTTTGTGGGTTTTAGGATCAGGAAACAGACTGGAGTTTCAGGGCCAAAGAGGGACAATGAATGCAGCATGACTGGACTTGCAGTCTCCAAGCTTCTGTACCAGGCAGCCTTCGTTGGGCAGTGGTGGCCTGGAGCTATAAGGGTGGACAGTAGCTGACTGTGTCTGCAGACAAGTTGTTTACTTCTTGTGGGCTTGCTTTTCTCCCTAATGGCCTGGTAACAACAGGTACTTACCCTACCGGTATTAAGGCTAAATGGTGTAGCCTAGGGACCTTACTCATGTCTTTTTGTTCAAAGAGTGCTGAGCTGGAAATTTTGCCAGGAGCAAGCTAGGTACATCCAGTCAAAAGTGACATTCAGGACCCCAGGGTTCAGGCTGCATTCATCCCTGTGGGTCCGTCTCCTCTCCTAATGGTTATGTCCTCTTTTTTTGTTTTTTAAAATTCTGATAATATCTCATAATCTGGAGCCTTATTTCTCTTATTTCTATCATGGAAATAACATGATCTGTGTCTCTGACCTCCATGGTTACCTGAGAGTGTTGGATGATGAGTGTGAGCAGCTGGAAACTGGTAAGGCTAATGCTGAGGATGGCAGTGTTGGCATCGAGGGCAGCATGCGTATTAGGGGAGGGAGTTTGGAGGGCTGCTCTAGGTGTGACCAGGCAACAATTATTTTTCGTCCACTGAACTCATCTTCCTTCTAATGTTAGAGCACTTGCACTTTTGAATTAAGCGCCAGCACCTTATAGCTCTGGATTCATGAGCCTGGGACTCTGGGTTTATTGTGATGACATGAGTTGGGGATAGGGAGCAGAGCGGTTGCCCTTGGGGTTGACATTGTGTGCAGAAAAGGTGACCACTGGCTGCTAGATCTGTTCCAGGCACATAAAAGATTTGCCCTGTGCTCCGGTCTACCAGAGGGTCCATCAGATGACCTTATGATAGGAGCAGAGGCTGCTTGGGAGATACTGATTGCCATGCAAGTATCATTCAGAACTTTGGCCTGGGCACAAGGGAGATGAAGGAGTAGATGGAGGTGGCACTGTGTTTCTGATGCCTTGCCTGCAGGGCTTTCTCACCATAATCAGGAAGCCACTAGGCTCTGATCATGTAGAAGGCATGGGAGTCACAAACAACCTAGATTCAGGCCCTGTCTCAACATTCTTCCCTGAAGTTGGCTTGTGCACACCCCTCACCTTCTCAGCCTAGTTTTCTCTATTACAGAATGTGGAGCTGGTGTGCTGATAGCTGAATGTGTGAGCAAATGTTTTGTAGACTGTAACGTGCTTCTGGATTCTAGAGGTGATGGCGCTGCTGCTTGATTGTTCTATTGAGCAGGACATTTTCCCACAAGATTGCAAATGGGACCGACCCAGAGTTTACATTCTCAAGCTTCCTAGAGGTGACTCTAAAAAAGCTAGGTGCAAATAAGGCCCAACCCTTGAATGTGATGCAAGGCTGTCTGAAACAGGTGTTGCAGGGGGCTGCTCCCATCCCAACTGGAAAGCTGCCTTTTTGGGAAGCCCAGGCTGCTGCCTGCCAGATGAGGTCATAGGATCCTGTGGGCTGGTTCAAGAATAGGAATGGGAATTGAGAGGCCAGCTGTGCTGGGATGACTGAAGACTTGTTAGGGGTGGTTCTCTGCGGCTGGGTCAGTTAGCAAGCAGCCTGGTCTGATGGCTTGTTAGGACCTGGGCCGCTCTAGCTACCGGTGCTAAGGTTACATCATTGAGCACCAGGACAGAGTAAAGAAAGTCTTGGGCTTTTAGTGATTGTCTTCCTAACCTGTGTGTTGTGCTGATGTTGATATGCTAATCTCCAGAGAGGCTCAGTGCTCAATTAGGGGGTGAAGCTAACATCTTAACATCACTAAACTGAGATGACCTATTGGCTGTGACAGCAAAAAGTCTCTTCACTGCCTGTGTTAAAAGCTTTTAAAAAGGGCCCCATACCCTTGGATTTAGTAATTTTACTTCAGAGGCTTTAACTCAAGGAAATAATTTGAACTGGGGCGAGAGGGCATCTATGCTCAAAGTTGCTGGTTATAATGGGAGGGGACCCCTAAAATATCCAGCATTAGAAGAGTATCGGAATCTAAACAGAAGTACCACGGAGTCGGGGAGTAGGGATGCTTTTGTTGCCCTGGGCCCCTGCATCCACAGCAACACCTCACACACAGGCAGTGTATTTTGAAGTTGTATGAAAAGGATTATGTCCATATGTTAGACTTACTCAGTAATTCAGATGAAGGAAGGTATCTGCATCAAAGTGTTTCTCCTGTGGGAGTTAGATGTAGTAAAAACAAACCACGATGGAAACCTTTACTTTGTACGTTGACTTGAAGATCTTTTAAAAAAGAAAGTTAATATCAAATATAAAAACTGAAAGAGCAACATTTTTTTGTTTTTTGTTTTAAAAGATTTATTTAATCACATTAGTGTTCTGTCTGCATGTGCGCCTTTATGCCAGAAGAAGGCATCAGATCCCACCATAGATGGTTGTGAGCCACTGTGTGGTTGCTGGGAATTGAACTCAGAATCTCTAAAAGAGCAGCCATTGCTCTTAACTGCTGAGCTATCTCTCCAACCTGCAACATATTTTTATATGTAGAAAGTCTCTGCCAACATGGGCTCAGCAGTTAAGGGCACTTGCCACTACTCCTGATGACCTGAGTTCAATCTCTAGGACCCATCCACAAGGTAGGAGAGAACTGACTCCCGAAAGTTGCACTCTGACCTGCACTTGTGTGCCCTGGCACACACATGTGCTCTCACCCACCCACCTATAAACAAACAAATGTAGTAACAAAAATTCTTTTAAAAAAATACCATTTTTTTAAAATAGAAGGCAAAAAATAAATCCCAAACTACCTTGGAAAGAGATTTCCACACATAATGATGCCACAGGTGCTTTTTGTTAGTTTGTTTCTAGATTTTATAAAAATCTGAAAGCAAGTATGATTTTGTGCTTGGGAAATTCTTTTTAAATCCATCATACTCTCTTTTGAAAAAGGAAATTTGTTTATTTGCTTATTTGTGAAACAACCCAGCAGCCTCCAGAGCCAGCTCGGCATCTTTTGAAGCTCCGGGCAGTCTTTGTCAACACACAAAACACCTACACACCACCGAGTCTGTCAGCTTGGCTGGGAAGCAGCCCCTCCTGACTTCAAAAGGGTGGTAGAAGGCCTGGGTGTTGGAACCGGGCAGGTCGTGTTGCAGAGACATGCCCATACATTTATTATCCCTTCAGTGAACTGAAGACATTTGGTGCAGCGAGGAGAATTTTAAGAAGATAGGATTTGCTGGGTGGGTGGTGAATTCTTGGGATTCTTTCCCTGGCATCAGTGTGGGGAAGCTGTTGAGAGTGTCGCCTCTTTGCCTTCTTTCTTGTATCAGCTTGTGCTATCTTAAAGATACTTTTTCTCCTTAGTGTTTTAGTGTATTGGAACTTTGTGTCTTTAAGATATTGTACTTTCCTGGGCGTGGTAACACATAACTGTAATCCCACTATGTGCAAGGCAGAGTTAGAATTGTCCAAAGTTTGAGGTCAGCCTAGTCTACACAAAAATTCTAGGGCAGCCAAAGATATGTGGCTATACCCTGTTTCAAAAAAACAAAACTTAGGAGTCAGAGGCTGGGGATCTATATGAGTTTGAGGCCAGCCTGGGCTACATGTGTAGTGAGTTCCAGGCCAGCCATGTTCCTCCTTCCCTGAGGAATGTTTGATGACCTGGGTCCCTCCCTAGGCACACTGATCTCTTGGTGTCCTTGTTGTCCCCTCATTCACATGACTTCTCATCTCTCTGTCTCCCTAGCCACAACCAGCAGACCACAACCTTCAGGCATCCTGTGACTGGGCACTTTTCTCCAGAAAACAGTGAATTCATTCTTCAGGAGGAGGAGTAAGTATCTCTTTATGTTTTTACTTAGGCAGAGTTTGAGGACTTGGAGACATGAACTCAAAGCACAACTTCCTGGGCTGTTCCTGCTGTTCTGGTTTGTTTGCTGGCTTTGTGGTCAAGTAGAGGGCGTTGGAGTGGATTGGTTCATTCAAAGTGAGAGGAGTTTTATTTCCCCATCTTCGCATGTCTGGTGAGAGGATGTGGGTATGGAGAGATGCTGCGGGATGTGCTGTGGTGGTAATCATAGCCTCTTAAAAATCCCTTCTTCTGAGACATCACCTTGCACACTAGCTGTGCTCTGAATGGACTTCTCATCCGGTGGGAAGGTGTTAGAGGTGAGATTGGGTACCAAGGCTACCTTCAGGAATAACCAGGTTTTTGTCCATGAACAAGTATTTGGGTAGAGATAGTGGATAATAACAGAAAAGTTTACTAAGGAAGAAAAGCTTTTCCCAGTGTGGAAACAGGCCAGAGCTGGAAACAGATCAAAGGCTCCATGGCAGATGCTGTGCAGAGGATTGGGCTAGTATATTTTAGTATGGTGGGCTTTGAGTCAATGGATAGCTCACTTTTTTTTTTTTTTTTTGGCATGTCAACCTTGATGGAGAGGATTTCCAGTCTTTCTTTCATATGCTAATTTTGACTAATTTCCATCCTACTCTCTTGCTACAATTGTATGTAAACCCAACCTCTAAAGGCATCAAGTAGGATTACAAAGTTGGGGTCTACAGGAGAGGAAGCAGATCTTTGCCCAGCTCAGTGGTCTTCAGGGAGAAAACTCTAGTCTGTACTCCTTGTGCTAACTGAGCAGGCTACATCGCTGTTGTGTGGAGATTCTAGCTGGAGTTGACCTGTAGTAACGTTAGGCTTGCTTCAAAGACGCCAAGCCTCCTCTGCTGTCTTTCTGTAGGAACCCTTCTCCAGCACTGTGTTACAGGGCCTCATCGCTCATGACCGATCATCTGGCTGCCCTTCTGAAGCCTCTTTCTGATGCTCACTGAATGTCTTTAATATCAGTGGGTGTCTGGCCCTTTGTGGCTGTCCTACTTTTATTTCTGTTGCTGTGATAAAGTATTCTGACAGAAAAGCAACCTAGTGGGGGAAGGGGTTTATTTCAGTTTTTAATTCCAGGTTACAGTCTGTCGTTATGGGGAAATCAAGTCAAGCAGCTAGTCATAGCACATACATTCAAGAGCAGAGATAAAATAATGTGTGCATGATTGTTTGCTTGCTTGCTTGCTTATGCTCAGCTTGATTTTTCCACCCTTAATATGATTCAGGACCTCCTGCCTAGAGGATGGTGCTGCCCACAGTGGTTATAGTAGTTAACTTAATAAAGACAGTCCCCAATAGACACACCCGCAGGCTAACCCAACGTAGACAACTCCACATGTAGACTCTCCTGGCAGGCGAGGCAGGCAAGTAGTGTCAAGTTGACCATTAAAGCTAACCGTCACAGTAGCTAACAGGTCTACCTACACACAAGGGACTTGGAAGGTCCAGGAATGTGATTTCCATATCTGATCTTCAAGCACAGGCACATGCTTTCTTCTCCTCAGTGCGGGTGCCTCTACAGCTTTGGGGAAGAGAGAAGCATTCCTGAGCAGTGACGGCAGCTGACGGCAGCTGACTGTACACCAATCCCCAGACTCTGCTAAGCATTTCATGTGGAGGTGGGGCCTGGGTTAAGAGAGAGTGCACTTGCTTTGGAAGTTCAGAAACCCACTATTGTGCTGAGCAACCAGCTGCAAGGCATGTGAGCTACCTTGGGGGTCCTCACCCAGGGGACCCTTACTTGGCCTGCCCTTCCCTGTGCCCAGTGAGTTTCATCTGTCCTCCCATTCCCACTTGTGTATTTGGAAAGAAAACACTGGCTGGAATTGCCGGTAATGTTGTGAGTGGTGTTTGAAGACAGCTCTAAGAGAGATCTGAGCTTGCTGAAGGTAGGCGGTCTCTTACTGAACTTCGGCCCCTTTGCAGAAGAGGCTTTATTTAACCGGTTTCAGGGCAAAACTCTGCTGAAGCTGGTGAGGATTGTGGGCTTAGGTGGGAATCTCCTGCTGCTAGGCAATTCTGTCTCCTGCTCTTCCTGCAGCTACATGTTGGTAAAAGCTGGCAGCCAGAGATAAGAGCGAGTGAACATGGGGAGAAGGCACTCCCCCTTCAGGAGGCCAGCCTGCACCCATCCTCGGGGTTCTGGGCTGTCAGAGTCTCATATGTTGCCATTCAGTTGCTGGTAGAACCAGCACCTTGTCTCCAGACATTGATAGTCTTGGGCTAGCTTTGCCTGTTGCATTTGGTTGCCATGGCAGCAGAAAAGATGAGGAGAAATGCGAACACCTGGCAAGCAGATGCAGAAACTTGACTGGTTTTCCTCTCCGGATTTTCAGACAGCATTTGTGACAGTCACAGAGGTAAGGGGAGAGACATGGGAATGGGGCCCTTAGTTCGCTCAGGGCCTAGTGGCAGTTTTTGGTGTGGATGTTTTGAAGGGCATTGTCAGTTGGGAATGCAGTTATTGCCCATGTCTGCGGCTCTTCTCTGCTGGTCAAATATGCAGTCGTGGTGGCTTTGCTGTGTGGAAGGGAGGCTGTTGCTCAAATACAGAAGTCTCGTTTCTTCCCGTGACTTCTCTAGTCCCTTTCTTTCCCCTCTCCACACCCTGGGAATTGCTCTGATTGCCATTTAACAAATGCTATAGTCGGATGAGAAGGATGGCTGCTTGGTAGATCAGGCAGGAGCAGCAGGCAGGTTGGAAGGGGGTAGATTAGAATGGGAGCATCTCAGAGGTCCATGTCTGCCTCTCATCCTGCACAGACAGTCTGGAGAGGGGAAGAGACTAGCCCACGGCAGTCCAGCTTGGGGACTCTGATGCCAAGTTCAGGACAATGCTCTGATTGAGGGATGAGGGCACAACTGTCAGAGCTGTCTTCATGCCAGGTGAGGGGGTGCTGTTTGGGCTCTTTTCCAGCCTGTGTTTAAGGAATTGAGGGGGACGGGGAAAGCGCATAGTGAGCTGTAGTGGAATGAGGCTGCAGTTGCTGCATGAAATCCCATGTCAGACAGCCTCCCTCAGGGTGATGGGAGTTGACAGTAAGCGTTGGCAGTGTCTCTTCATCTGGGAAGTGCAGTATGAAGGTGTGTCTGCCTGCTTGGGGCAACAACTCATTTTCTCTCCCTCCCTGCCCTCCTCCTTTCCTTCCCTGCCCCCCACCCCATCATCTTCATTGTAGATTGTGCTCCTCAAATGTGTGCTTGTGTTTGCAAGTGTACCCACTCTTCATGCAGTCCCCCATTCACAGCCATCACTCAACTGAGTTCCCTTGTCTTTGGAATCCTTGAGAACAGAGTCTGAAGTTGGGGTTCCATTTATCTAGAAATTCATGGGATAACATGAAATGAGGTGTTTTTGGTTTTGTTTTGTTTTGTTTCAGTGCTGGGGATCAAATTGAGGATCTTGTCCACATTAGACAAGTACACAACCACCCAGCCATATCCCCAGGCCAATGGAGTTCTGTTTCCCCCTAACTGGCTGATGTCCAGCCATTGCCTTGACCACTAGAAGGGAAGCCTGCCATAGTTTCTATACTTTGACTAAAAAAAGTCGCAGGTGATGCGTTGCTAAGAAACCATTGTGGTCTGAGCTAATCATTTGGCATCTTGAGCTTTCTGGAGAGAAATGGCTTGGTAGTAAAAATAAACTGTAGATGGGATTTAGGTTCCGGGTCTCCAGTGGTGACACAGGAATTGTGTCGATCTTACAGTACCTCCTGGTTCTAAGAAGGTCGTCTCAATGCACAAGCTGCCTTGTGAAGAGAGGTGATTTTCACCCCATTTAAAATGGAAACTGAGGCCCAGAGAGCTGACTTGTGGAAGAGTCAAAACACGTCAGAGCTCAGCTGAAATCTAGTCATCTCTGCTCTTGCGCTTTCTGCCACCCCAGGTCCCCTGGTTTGGGGGTTGGCCTCAGGGCTGTTATAGCCAAGGTCTGTGTCTCACTGACCTTGAAGGGACTTGGCACTTGGGATCTCTTTATGGCAGACCCCATCCAGTTCATTGCTTTTAACTTAATTTTAATTTTGTTTTGTTTGGTTTTGTTTTCAGGACAGGGTTTCTCTGTGTAGTCCTGGCTGTCCAGGAAATCACTTTGTAGACCAAGTTGGCCTTGAACTCACAGACATCTGCCTGCCTCTGCCTCCTGAGTGCTGGGATTAAAGGTGTGCGCCACCACCACGCAGCTTGATTTTCATTTTTACAGTACTAGGGATTGAACCCAGGTTTTCATGTGTGTTGGGCAAGCACTCCACCACCGAGCTACATCAAGTCCCCTTTAACTGTTTAAGATGGACTTTCACTAAGTTGCCCAGGCTTGCCAGGAACTCACCCCACAGCTTTGAATTTTCAGTTCCCCTGCCTCAGACTCCCGAGTAAGCCCAGGTTTTAGAACATAGCTGATGTTTTCAGCAAGTCATTAATTTCTCTGGGGCTGAATGTTCATATCTTCAAAGCACGAGTGATAAAACCGACTGCATAGCCGAGAGAATTCGGGGAAAGCTCCTGGCACGTAGCTGTTCATGACGCACTTGCCTTGTTCCCCTGCTTGCTGTACTTAGTGTACCTGTCCCTCGGGCTTGGTTGACCTGTCTGTAGTGACTTGTAGGAGGACGGGGTCCTGCTGTGATGATATGCCAGTGCTCAGAGCAAATGGCTTCCATGTTTATGAGGGTTCTTGCTCTGCCTGTCAGGGTATGTGCACTTTGTCTGGAGGCAGAGAAGGTCACTTCTTCAGGGTAGAATCCAGCCCTTTCCCAATGGGGCTTCTCCTGGCTGATTCTGTCTACTCTTCATTTCTTTTGTTTGCTTCTGACAGGAGGCAGCTGAGCTCAAAGTTTAGCTCACTGTTTTGAACTTCAGCCCACACCCCTGCAGCAAAATAATCTGTATTCATGTAGCTTAAGTGAGGGAAAGGGAGGTCTTTGTTTCAACCATCCCACTGTACTGGGAATCCAGACAGCACAGAAACCCAACAAGCAGGCTTAGAGTGAATAAGTCTTATTTAAGGACAGTAAGAGTCTGAGCATGCAGGTTCTGTGGTCTCCTTTGTAGGATGCCGTGTGCCTGAGGGCATGCTGATGGGGAACTGTATGTCTTCTGGGGACATTTCTTGGGTGAAACTTACTAGTGGAGTATATCCAGGCTGAGGACTTGAGGACAGATCAGTATGTCTGCCTAGCCATACTCTTCAGTGGGGAGCATGCCTGTCCAGTGAGCCTAGCTGAAGCAGATGGACTAGAACTCCTCTGTTGAATGATGCCTTGTTCACTCATTCTGGGTTTTCTGGCTTATCTATTCAGGAGGCTTCATAAATACATCATGGGTGCTCCTATGCTTAAATCAATGGGGTTAAACCACTCTAGAAGCTTTCATGAGTGCCAATTTTTCATCCAACTGAGAAAATTGTTTTGATACTTTCTCATGTCTGTTTTTGATATGAAATGGGTTACTAACTGTGATTCTAGTAAATAACTTGTGGTCATTTCCATAGTCATCGTTCAGTATGACCCATGGTGAGGGGATCTAGCAAACATCCTCTGAAGGCCAGCCTTGTCTTGGATGTGTGTGTCTTATTCTTTCAGAGAGCTGGGTCAGGCTGCATATAACACTGAAGGCTGTTGATTGAATGGGGATCTTTCCTGCAGTGTTAGTAGTCAACATAGTCACCTCTCTATGGCAAGTTTGGGGTTTTCCTTTCCTCCCCTGCCTCTCACTGTTTCTTAGAGGTCAGCGTTGTGTCTATAACCAGTCTTTCTCCAAACAAGATCTCTCTATAGCTGGCTCCTTCAGCAGGAGCTCTGTCCTCTTCTCACCAAACCTGTGACCAAATTTTGTCTTTCTCCTCGTGCTATTGGCTGAGAGAACTCCCAGCCAGCTAGCACCCATAGCCAGGGGTAAAGGTAAGATGGCCAGACTAAGGCTACGAAATGGCAAAGCGCTGTAACACAAATCTTAAAAGGTTTTATTAATAAAAAAAAAAAAAAAAACCTGGAGCCAGGTACTGGGGTCAATGCTGGAAGATCAGAGAAGCAGAACAAGCCACAGCTTCCTCACCTTGCAATTCCTCAGCTGATCCTGTTTCCTCAGACTGGAAGCCTCTGTGTCCTTATCCAAATGGATCTCAACTGAACTGCTTCTCGAAAGCCTGAAAGTTTAACCAACCCTAGTTCCTGGTCCTCACGCCTTTTATACCTTTCTGCTTCCTGCCATCACTTCCTGAGATTAAAGGCCTGAGTCACCATGCCTGACTATTTCCAGTGTGGCTTTGAACTCACAGAGATCCAGACAGATCTCTGCCTCTGGAATGCTAGGATTAAAGGCTGTGTGCCACCATTTTCTGGCCTCTATATCTAGTGGCTGTTCTGTTCTCTGACCCCAGTTAAGTTTATTAGGGTGCACAATATTTTGGGGAACACATTATCACCACAAAGTGCTCACTCATTCTAGGTTTCCTGGGTCAGCCACAAATCCATATAGTCTTTTTCTTTGTCCTGTAGAGAGGGCATGAGGGAGCTGTCAATAAAGCGTGTCATGTTTATTTAAGATGATTTGGATAATTTAAAAGTGATGGGGCACTCAGGAGGCAGAGTCATGTGGGTCTCTGTGAGTTTGAGGACAGCCAGGGCAATTACACAGAGAAACCCTGTCTCCACCCTTCCCCTCCAAAAAAAGTGATGGGGAAAATGTTTATATTAAAGTGTATGAATGTGTGTACATGTTTTTTGTTTTTTGTTTTTGTTTTTGTTTTCTGAGACAAGGTTTCGCTATGTGGCTCTATGTGTCCTGGAACTCACCTTGTAGACCCTGCTGGCTTTGAATTCACAGAGATCCACCTGCCTCTGCCTCCTGGGATTAAAGGTGTGTGTCACTGTATCTTGCATGTTAAAATAGTTTAAAACATTGGGTATAAATAAGATCATGAATACATCACAGATACAGAGAAAAAAAACAAGCAAACAAACAAAACAATGCCCCCAAAATCAAAGCAATCATATCAGAAAGGACAGGCATAAATAAATGTTAAAATATTTTTGCTCTGGGTAGCAGGACTATGGGAGATCCCCCTTCTCCCTTTACCATTCAGCTTTTTTTTTTTTTTTTGTATTTTCTTTAATATCCTATAATGTTTCTATCAGTATCTCAAAGGAAAATCAATTGAACTTAAGTCACAGATAAACCTTTTGTGAGACCGGCACTTAAATCTTGAATTTGTGTGTGTGTGTGTGTGTGTGTGTGTGTGTGTGTGTGTGTGTCTGTGTGTGTGTCTGTGTGTGTGTCTGTGTGTGTGTCTGTGTCTGTGTCTGTGTAGGTCAGAGGACAGCTAGTAGGAATTGGTTCTCTCTTTTGCCATGTATGTCCCAGGTATTGAACTCAGGTCCTCAGACTTGGAAACAAGCACCTTTATCCTGTCTCACCTACCTGTTGGGTCTTAGATTTCAGTGGAGAGGTATAACCACCCTAACAGGCAACCCAAGAGTTTTCCTTCCTTGTCCCTCTCTCTGGGAAGCTGGGCAGGAGCAGGTCCTGGGAAGATAGTTGGTTGTCCTGCTTAGAGGCATGATAGGACAAGATAGCCTCACAGAGCCTCTTCCCACCCCCAAACTGTGATTTTGCTACCCTAGCCTCTGCCAAGGGAGAGGCCAAGCCTGGTGACATTCCCCATCTGAGCAGGGAGCAGTAACAACATTTTGGCTGGGATGGAAGCTGTGGGCAGGGCTTCTGGATGAGCCTGGCTGATATGGAGTCAGCCAGCTTGCCTGGTGGGTAGTGCGTCTGCCACTGCTGAGCGTCTCATGGGGCTGACCCACTGGGAAGCTGATGCCTGCTACAGAGGAGGCATAGCAGCCACACACTTCTGCAGAGAAGTCCCTCCTGGGGCAGTCTTGGTGTGGTGACCCAGAGCACTACAAGGATCCATGTCCTTTGAGCGGTGATAGTACCTGAAGGGAGCATGGTATCTCTAGGTGAAGACTAGAATTTTTCATCACACCCTGTAAAAGTAAGTGATGTGAGACATTTTGAGCACTTTTCTATTCAGCTTCGTCTGGCCTGAATCTTCTAACTCCATCTTTTCAGGGTCCTAGCTAAGTCCTCTGAAGTAATTTTTTTCAACTCCTGAAGCAGGAAGCTTCAAAATATTTTATGTAGTCTGCATGCTAATCACCTGCCTGGATCCTGCTGCCTATTGGAGCAGCAGACAAAATGCAGCCAAGGAACGCCATGATTTCTGCTTCCTGCTCAGGGACAGCCTATAGACTGTGGAGCCGGCAGGGTCTTGACATCATGCATCATGCTGTTCAAGGATAGGTATTGAGCTTGGGTGGAGTCATTGACACTTTTGTGTAGGAAAGACTGGTACAGATATGGGCTTCTCGGAAGGCAGGTGAGAAGGATGTTCTTCCACATCTCTTTAGAGTAGTACGCCAAGCTCTGGCCCTCCCAGAGCCTCTCGGCAGGAAGTCCATGTAGCTGGGATGCTGATGGGGAAGCACTAGGGTTCCTTACAGTGGTCTCACATATACTTCATGACTCCCTGCTATCCAGTCACAGTATCGGGGGTTAATATCTCCAGTGGCTCTATTTTGGGGCAAATGGAGTGTTCCCAGAATAGGACTCTTTGTTGAGTAGTCTATTTTGGGAGGCAAGCCCCACTGGCGTTTATGTAAGCATTCTCTGTGTATATCTGGGGGTGTGGATGTGTGCGCAAGTGATTTCTTGTTACTAATTATAAACAGCTTCTTTTGGGAGTCGGGGAAGTGGAGGTGTATGTGTGTAGGGTATGATGACTCTCTCCTTCTGTTAAGAGTATTGTGTGCCTTGAGCAGTTGCCAGGGACACCCTAGTAGGAGAATGAGTGTGGGCACCTTAGGACCACAGACAGTGAATGCGGTGCGCACCCTTTTCTGGAATGTCTGGCTGTGCTGGTGTGTCCATCTGCTATCTTTTGGTTCCCTGAAGCACAGGGACAGGTGGATTTTGTGGCCTCTGTCTACAATCTGGGAGCAGACAGCCTCCAAAAAATGGGACCTGAGTTCTGAGGCCAAGCAACCAGCTCCAGCTTGGGACAGGTCATAGACTGGACTTCCCACTCCGCAGCTGGGCACATACTCACTGGATTCCCTGCACCTCCCTGCAGACTACACCCACACATGTCGAAGCAAGAGAGAAACCAAAGACCGTCTAGCATGGTCAGTGAGACATCCACGGCTGGGACCACATCCACCCTGGAGGCCAAGCCTGGACCCAAGGTGAGCCCCTGGTCACTGGGTTCTTCCTGTCCCTTCTATATTTTTCCAAGCCCTTTTGTAACCAGAAGTCCATTTGATTATCACAGCTTTGTGGGGTATACCCATAAGAAATGCTCCCCCAAAATTACAGGTCAGGAAATGAAGCCCAAGAGAGGTTGTGGCCCTTGTTCAAGGAAACAGGTGGTTGCTGATAGACCAAGACTGGTGTCTAGCTCCTTGAGTGCATTCTTCACTGTCCTGGCATGTACTCAGAAAGCAACACCTCAGTTCACATGGGCATGATGTTAGATCCTGGCAAGTTTCAGCAACAGACAGGCTTGAGGAAGGGAAATGCCCAGAAATTTTTGTTCAAAATGTAGGATCTCTCACTTAGACAGGTAAACCAGATTGATGAACCAAGTATTGGGTACTGACAAAGTCAGGGACTGAAAAGTGGCTTCATTCCAGAATGCCAAGGCAGCAGGTCTTAACGTTAATGGGGAAATTCCTTAACTTCTCTCTGTGTGAACCATTTGAGAAGTTTGCTGTATCCAGGGCTTGCTGTTTGACTTCGAGGGACGTTGTGACCAAGGGCCCGCAGTGAGAGAAGGTGCTGTCACTTAAAGGATGCCAGAGACCACCAACAGCCCTCCAACAGCCCTCCTAACGCACAAGCATGTGTGTGCCCCTCTAAGTCCCTGCTGCTAGAACCGAGATCTGCTTTTCCTAGATCATCAAGTCCAGCAGTAAAGTGCACAGCTTTGGGAAGAGAGACCAGGCCATTCGGAGGAACCTCAATGTCCCAGTGGTGGTGAGGGGCTGGCTGCACAAGCAGGTGAGGAGGCTGAGGTGGGAGTGAGGTGGAAGAATGGATCTTGCTTGCTTCTTCCTTCAGCCCGGGGAGGCTGTGAATAGCTAGAGAAACTTCTTGTTCCCGAATTTGTTTGGGGCAGGTGGGCTCTGCCCACTGTGCCCAATGACCTGTTCATTGTTTATGAGTGAGCTGTTTGCTCAAGGGTTGCAGCTTCTCTTCCCAAAACCACTTCACCACTTTGGCCCCTGGTGCTCTTGGTGACCTGGGGTTGGTCAATGGGGTGTGGGGTGATGGAGATGAAGGAGAGAAGACTGTGTTTTAGAGCCCAGGCCACAGTGGGAGTGGATGAGTCGGCCTGTCTTCCTAGTGCTAGTGCCTTTGTTACCGTTTGGCTACAAATGGTATCTTTTCCTCGCCTGGGATGTATGGCTAGCTCCCTAGTGTGTGGAAATCCAAATCTGCCAAGTTCACCACTTGCTCCTTGCTCCACCCTCTCTCCAGCCACTTTTCCTGGATGTTAGTAATAAGGAGCCATCACTTACCTCTCAGGTGTGCGGGGAAGAGACCTCAGCACCATCACCTACTCCTTCTGTTCCCACGTCTGTTTAGCCCGTCTCTTGAGGCTATCCTTCATCTTCATTACCCCGATACCACCCTCATTGCTTTGTCTCTGGTCTTCCAGCCAGCTCCGAGCTCCTAAGTCCAGAACTATGTCTCCTTGGCCCCTTCCTTTTCTCCTTGCCATTTCTTCATTCATTTGCTCCCCATGTCTGTGCCATGTTTTGTGGGGCTCACACAGCATGTGTGAAGAGACAAATAGGTTCCCTGAGGAACTCATCGCATGCAGAGGGAAACAAAGAAGCCATCTTTCACGTCACACTGTCATCCATCCCAGTCTGTCACCTACCACCATCTACAAAAGCCAGTCAAACTCCAGGAGGAATGAAGCCCACTTGAGGAGAGCATTTGTGAGGAGGGCTTTGCATTTTACACTGTATAGGAGGGCTTCCAGAGGCCCCTTCCTGTGGAAGAGAAGTCCCAGATCCCATCCTCTGCCTCTGGTCACATGTCTCCTTTCATAGCTCTGGTCTTTTTACTTGCATGTCTCTCTCTATCTGAGTAATTCTCCAATCTGGCTTGCCCTGTTAAATAAGGACACTGGTTGGAAATGTGGCAGGAGAGGGAAAGGACTGTGAATAATTCTTCCCACCTCCCACCCTTTTGCTGTTCTGCTTCCATGATGGGTCTGTTCAGAGCACTGCAGACTCCTAGCAGAAGGAAGAGCTGTGTTCGCACAGCCCAGGAAGCTTCCCCCAGAAAGTGGCATTTGAACCATATATGGAGGATAGCTAAAGGCCTACCAGTAAAAGGGAAGCAAATGCTATCTAGACTGTAGAAATCATTTGCCAGTTTGCACGTTATAGAACTGACCATCAGATGACAACATCAAGTTAATTTGGTTTTGGTACTTTAGTATGTGTTAGGGCATGGGAATGCATGGCAAATAAGCCTCATGTCATATTTAGGGTTGGAAACTGTTCTTCTGTTTTATTTCAAGCCTATCAAAAACTTCTGAGTAGGAAAAGACTTTATTTTTATGTGTATGAATATTTTGCTTGCATGTATGTATGTGTACCATGCTCATGATGATCATGGCCAGAAAAGGGCATCTCATCCCTTGAAGCTGGAGTACAGACATTGTGAGCTGTCACGTGATTCTGAGACCTGAACCTAGGTCCCCTGCAGGAGCAGCAAGTGCTCTTGACCACTAAGCTATCTTTCCAGCTTCAAGGAAAGATGTTTAACCAGCTAAACCCAACTCTGAGAGTCTCCTAGGCATTGGAGAAACTGGCATCTAACATTGCTATTTTCCTTGTGACCAAGTTTTTTTTGTTTGTTTGTTTTCTACTTCTGTTATGAGAAAATTTGATTGCAAAGAGAATTCACACCTTTACATTGTCTGGAAAGAAAATAACAAAACCAGTCCTGTGGTAGAGAATGGAATTGGTTAGCTGAGAGCTTTATTTCAATTACCTAACTTAAAATTATTCAATACTATATGTAAATTCACTTTCTAATCAGAATGAATGAAGATATTTTATGGCCTAGATCCTAAAACAAAACCAAAACACTTCATTTTTAATAGTTATCAGTAGTTAACTTCTATTTTTGAACTTTCCTTTCTAGAAGTAAATGGGTTATAATAATTTGTTCCTAGGAGACCAGAAAACCTTACTTCCTGCGATAAACCATCAGTGAGTTGAAGTCAATGTCTATTTAAAGAGTAGCTATTCAGTAAGATATTCATTGAAAGAGGGAGGAAATCTAAGCCATCAGTTAGTCTAAGTTTAATGTCCTGGTCAAAGAGTAGCTATTCAATAAGATGTTCATTGGTTTATTGAAAGAGGGAGAGAATATGGGAACCAGATATGTGGCTCAGTTGGTGGGTTGCATGCAGGGCAAGCACAAGTCCTAGACTGGATCACAGGACCACGTAAACCACGTGTGGTGTGAACAGCACACCTATAATCCCAACACTTGACAGGTGGAAGTGAAGGATTAGAAGTTCAACATCATCCTCAGCTATGTAGTACATTTGAGGCCAGCCTGGACTACATGAGACCATCTCATTACAAACAAAATAAAAGAGAGCAAAAGAAAAATGAAAGAGGCGTGGTGGCACCTGTCTTTAATCCCAGCACTCAGGAAGCAGAAGCAAGTGGATCTGAGTCTGAGGCCAGCTTGATCTACAGAATGAGTTCCTAGACAGCCAGGGTTACACAGGGAAACCCTGCCAAGAGAGAGAGAGAGAGAGAGAGAGAGAGAGAGAGAGAGAGCTGAAAAATTGGCTCACTGGTTAAGAGCAGAGGACCTGAGGTCAGTTCTTAGCACCCATATCAGTGACTCACAATGGCCTATAACTCTAGCTCCAGGGGATCTGACACCCTCTTCTGGCCCCTGTGGATGGACACATACATACACACGCACACACAGATGGGGGTGTTAAATACATTTAAATGTGTAAATTTATTTTAAGTGCATGGGCATCTTTCCTGCATGTATATTTGTGCACCATGTGCATGTCTGGTACTTGTGGAGATGAGAAAAGGATGTTAGATTCCCTGAGACTCCAATTACAGGTGGTTGTGAGTTGCCATCTGGGTTCTAGAAATTGAGCCTAGGTCCTCTGGAAGAGCAATTGGTACTCTTAACTGCTGAGCCATCTCTCTAGCCCCAAAAATCAATCTTAAAAAAAAAAAAAATAACAATGTAAAGGAGTGGCTGTGGCAGGCGTGGCTCCGGGAGCAGTTTTACATGAGTGGAGGAGTGGAGTGGAATAGGCTGCCCTGACTGATTGTCTGTGCTTTGCAGGACAGCTCCGGGATGAGGCTGTGGAAAAGACGGTGGTTTGTGCTCGCTGATTACTGTTTGTTTTATTATAAAGGTGAGCTGGAGTCTCAGAGCACTAAGAGTTTTTTGTGCTAGAGAGACTGGTGAGGGAGTCCAAATGGGAGCTTTCTCAAATCTCGTTGCTGGAGCAGTGGCCTGAGCTAACTGATGCCTGTTGCCTTGCAAGAATGTTCTCTGGTGTGTGTGGCTGGTGACTTCAGCTTTACCCATCTAGGCTACAGAAGTTCAAGTTGTTGAATTCAAGTAAGAGTCAGTTATGGTCTCGAGACCCAGAGTCACATGGGTTTTGCCCCACTTGGACGTAGGTTACCTTGGAGGCCCCTGGAGAGCTGGAGGCAGTGGAATCACCCTGTCTGGGTGTCTCCTGTGGCACTGGACAGGGCACTTGAGCATTTATGGAGCTCTGTATAAAGCCAGGGACTAAGCAGTGTGGAATCTCAAAATACAGAAGAGAAGGACAAGTGTAGACTCTGCTGAGTGCTTTTGAAGACACCGAAGTCCATAGATTCTTCAGGGGAAATAGCAAGTGCTTGTCTTTGGGAATTCTGGGAAGATGTTTTAGAAGACTTAGGATTTGCATTTGACTTTTAAGGGTGGGTAGTGCTTTGTCTTCATGGGAGCAGAAGACACACTTGAGGAAAGTTCTAGATGCAGAAGGAGGTGGAAGGACAGACACATCTGTGTGGGCTGGATGAAGCTTGCATAGGGATTATCCTAGGAGATGAGACTGAAGAGGTGGGAGAGGGCCAGATGCAAGGGCTGTCACAAAAGGGCGGGGACATGGGGCTTAGTGTTGTGTCTGGTGGAGAGGCATGTGTGTCTCGAGTGGAAGAGCATCAGGGCTAATTCTGTCACTCTGCAGTGATGGGTGGCTGGTGAATGAAGGTGGAGGAAGGGTAGAACAGAAGTACCGCTCTCGTGCCCTCTCTGCCCTCGGAGAAAGTGCCCATGGCCCTCAACTTCTGTGGTCCCGTTAGTGCAGAGGTGCTGGTAAGCATTTGGTACAAGGGAAGGAGACAGTGCAGGCTGCGGAGATGCGGTTTGGACAGGATTCCCAGATGTTGTTCTGATGTGTTTTTCCATCCAAAGACAGCCGAGAAGAAGCAGTTCTCGGGAGCATCCCTCTGCCCAGCTACGTCATCTCCCCTGTGGCCCCGGAGGATCGCATAAGCCGCAAGTATTCCTTTAAGGTATTGTCCTTCTTCAGTCAGTCAGTCATCTTAAGAAACAGTGTTCTCAGGAACACCTTCATGGACGCAGCTGCCTTGGGGAGTGGGAAAGGAAGTTAGGAGGCTAGAGTCTCAGACTCAGGATAACAAGGTGTAAGTGACTTAAGAATAAAGCTATGGCCAGGCATGGTGGGCCCACACCTGTCATCCTGGTATCCAGGAGACAGAGGCAGGCACTCTGTGAGTGAAGGCCAGCCTGGTCTGGTTTACATAGCCTATTGATGTACTGTAGCCACTATTTTTTTTTTCTTTTCCGAGACAGGATTTCTCTGTGTAGCTTTGCGCCTTTCCTGGAACTCACTCTGTAGCCCAGGTTGGCCTGAAATTCACAGAGATCTACCTGCCTCTGCCTCCCAAGTGCTGGGATTAAAGGCATGCACCACCACCACCCAGCTTCTTTTTTTTTTTTTAATTTTTCTTTAATAAAAAAAAAAAAAGGTCATCACCTCAGCCATGAAGTTCAGCCCCTTCTCTTCCGTAGCTCAGGAACTGCTCTGAAATCATTTTGTTCAGTGGCTTCTGAGTCTTCCCTTTCCTGTTGCTGTGATAGACACCATGACCAGAAGCAAGTTACGGAGGAAAGGGTTTGTTTTGGGTTACGGTTCCAGAGGGATGAGTTCATCGGGGCAGGGAGGTGTGGCAGGCAGGGCCGCAGAAGTGGAAGCCGAGAGCTCACATTTTAAACTATAAGCACAAACCAGAGAGGGGGAACTAGCAGAAGCTGCAGGTTTTTAATCTCAAAGCCCGCCCCCAGGAGCTTTCTTCCTCCAGCAAGGCCGCCCCACCTGAACCTCATCAGATAGCAGCACTTGGGAGCTAAGTGTTCAAATACCAGAACCCATGGGGGATGCTTTTCATTCAAACTGCCACATTGGGGTTGAGTATCACCAGGGGTAAATCACTGGGGACCAGGAGAGACAGCCTGTGGAGTGGCTGTGTGCAATTTACCTTCCCACTTCATGGTAGGTGTGAGGTAGATGCCCATGTGTCCTCACTCCTCCTCTGTACTTCAGCCAGTGGTCTTTCCAAGATCTGATCACATCCTTTTGCAGCCCCAGCTTGGCTCCCTCAGTAGCTTTTCATTGATCTTTCACTGAACACAAACCCCTAATGTGACCTGCAAGGCCTGAGGACCCCGCCCTGGCAGCATGTACCACCCTTCCCTTTGCTCCCCCAAGGCGGCCATGCTGGCCTCACCTGTGAAGATGTACACTAAGTGATTTTGCTTTTTGGGGTCTGAGAGTCTTTTCCTCTTATCCAGGAGTTGCCTGTCAGGAGGAAGGCAGTTTGAATGTCTATTCTCACATGAGTCCAGGTCAGGTGTCCTCCTCTCTCGCTGTCCTCTCTATTGTCTGAGACAGGGTCTTGTGTGTATGTGTGTGTGTGTTTGTGTGTGTATATGTGTGTGTGTGTATGTGTGTATATGGTGGCTACAGTAAGTATTCACGTGTCCACATCCAGAGGCCAGAGCAGGACCACAGGTGTCTTCCTCTCTCCATATTGTTTGAGACAGGGTCTCTCACTGAACCAGAAGTGCACCATTTTGACCAGGGTAGTGTCTAGTGAGCTCTGGGGATCCACTTGTCTCTGCCCCCCAGTGCCCGACAATGGGGTTATAGATAGAGCCATGTGTGGCTTTCTGTGGGTTCTAGGCATTCAGGTCCTCATGCCTGCAGAACAAGTGTTTTGCCCACCGAGCCATCTCTGCAGCCCCTGAACCTCTTGATAGCACCTATCAGTGCGACAATGATAGTTACACTGCAGCACTCATCCACGGGTGTTTGTGAGTGGTGTTTGTGAGTGGCCGTGGCCTCCTGTAAGGCTGTCCCTCTGCCTTCTAGTACAGTGCTTCCCACATGGTAAACACTCAATAGATGGCGAATAATTGTGGGGGAAGTACACTTGAGAATTTGTCAGTCAGTTGGTGACTTTTGCATGCTCCTTTATTACCCATGTAGATTCTTGCTGTCCTGAAATCTGATCTTGGGGTTTGAGGAGGGAAGATCTGGGCTTCCTTCTTAGTATCGTGTTAGCACAGCCGTGTTCTGGGGCAGGTTGTTTCTGAGGTAGATGCTCCCTCACTCTCATCCTAGTTTCCTTCCGGTGTAGTCTGGTTTCTGTTCAGTCATAAAGTTGCCTTATAGGGTTGTGCTAGCTGAGGAACGTGGAGCTGAGAGGAAGGGACCATCCCCAGAGCCTCTTGCTGGACCACGGATGCCTCCTCAGGCACAGAGCACTTTGAGTTTAGGTCACTGGGCCAGATTCAAAGGAACTTGTATCTTCATTACCCTTACAGTCAGAGCATCTGATTGCCTCTGCACAGGCAGACTACAGCTGGGAACCTGGTCTTCAGGTGAGCAGCTAGGCACAAGCCTGCTGGCGGTAACTAGAGAACAAGGCTGTGTGCTCGTGCATGACTCCTGTGGTGGCTGCATGCTTGAAGTGTGTCCTAGGCTAATTGCTGGACAAGGCTGGCTCTCAGGATGCTTGTAGCGCAGGGCCTTGCTCTTTTGAACAGCTGCACTGGAGATCTTCCTGCATTTGCATCAGATGGGCTAGTGACTACCCCAGAACCCTCTGTGGTGTGCAGAGACTCTTGGCCTCATGGTCCAGGAGAACCTGTCTAAGGAATTCTGCTGGTACATGGGAGGGCGTGCACGAGTCTCTTCTTGTTCTTATTGCTGTAGCTCCTGCTTGCTAAAACAGAGGGGACCGAAAGGACACCTAAGACATTCAAAGTGGGGACATGAGGTTTCTTCTGCCACTGTGGAGACCTTGGCTGCAGGCAAAGTCTGCCCAGTCTCCCTCAGCACGGTTAGGTAGACTCAGACATATTAATGGGAGAAATAGGCCCATAGTTAATGTGCACTATGGGACTTGGATGTCAAGTGTGGGGAGAAGTAAATGCTGAAGGCTTCTCTGGGAGGATTTGTCCATCCATACTGAAAGCATGCTTATAAGTGTTTCCTCTGACTGGTCACTGGTAGGGTCTGCCTAGATTCCATAACAGAATTACCTGCATTTTTGTATAGGGCCTATGAGCATTACACAGAGAAGCCTGGGCTGGGAGTTAGACCAAGGTTCCAACCCTTCATTCACATTCATTCATTCAGCCAGTAGTGAGCACATACCATATGCTGGGCTGGGTATATGGTGGTGAGCAAAACAGGAAGTTTCCTTTTCATGTGAAGTTTGTAAAAGAAGCAGTGTCTGGTGATGGTAAGTAAGTGCTCTAAGAACCTCTTCCAGATGTGTCATGTGGGAGAGTTACCGAGCCTTTCAGATCCATTTGCCTCACCTGCAAAACAGGTCTGTCGTAGCCTCTCTAGGCTGCTGGGATTAAAAATTGACTAAAATTGTGGGCAGGAGCCACAGGATGGGTACTTTCACGATTTTCCCTTTTCTACAGCATCTTCCTGTGTAGATGGGGTGAGGTTTTTAACTGTAAGGTTAAAAGGCAGGCCACTGCCTTCTCAGGCTCAGGATATAGTGGTGTTTCCAACTGGAAGCCCTCAGAGTCACTGCTCTTTCTAGGCTTCCCACAGTGTATAGCCTTGAGGGGCCAAATGCACCAGCACTGCAGAATTCCAGTCAGATGTTGGTCAGCTCTGCCCAGATCCACGGTGTCTTTAAAAGACAGTAGCTGCTGCTTTAGGCACTCATCACATTTCATGCCAGTCGGAGCCCAGGACACTGAGCCACTTCTGTCTTGGAGTCTGGCAATCTAAGAACGTGGCATCTGGCTGTGACAGTTTTCAGATGTGAAGACAAACTGGCCGCCACTGGGGCTTCATCTAGTGGGAACACAGCCAAAGTTCCCCCTCTTTCTTGCTCCCAGAGAGAAGGTGTGCTAACCTGTCTGTCCTCCTGCTACAGGCTGTGCACACAGGAATGAGGGCGCTCATCTACAGCACCACCACAGCGGGCTCCCAGGCTGAGCACTCGGGCATGAGAACGTACTACTTCAGTGCTGACACCCTGGAGGACATGAACGCCTGGGTCAGGGCCATGAACCAGGCTGCACAGGTGCTGTCTCGGTCGTCACTGAAGAGGTCAGTTCTGGTGGAGGGTTCCCATGATAGGGGCTAGAAAAATTCCATAGAGCTTCAGTTCCGCTCTTCATGCTGTATTCAGGATGGCCATCTCTCTCAAGTACATTCTAGAACAAGTGCTTCTAGGAGAGTGTACAAATGCTAGCACATGTAGCTGCTCACCAGGCTGGAAGCTCCTCTAGCCAGCATCTAATGCCTTGGTGCCTGTGCCATGGCTGCTTAGGATACACATCCATGGAATCTGGCATATGTGTGTTCTCAGATTTTCTTATTTGTGGTAGAAGGGATAGAGATATTCCAAATCACATTCCCAGGTAATCTCTGTTAGGTTAACTGATATCCTTTAAAATAACTTTCTGTTTATGGCATAGATGTATACAGATATATGCAGGTTTCTTTCTTACCTTTAAAAAATCATTTTATTTGTTTGTTTATTTATTGATTTATTTATTGTGTGTGTGTGTGTGTGTGTGTGTGTGTGTGTGTGTGTGTGTGTACGTGTACTGATGCCATGGCACCACTTTGGAGGTCAGAGGACACCTTTTGGAAGTTTGTTCTCTCCTTCCATGATGTGCATCCCAGGAATTGAACTCAGGTTGTCAGGATTGGTAACAAGCACCATACCCATTGGACCATCTTTCTTGTCATTTTAAAGCATAAACAAGAACATCCATATTATTTAATACCGGTAGGCATAGATCACTATATCAGTCTTTATTCTGCTGCTATAACGAAATACCCAAGTCTGAGTAATATATAAAGAAAAGAGTTTTACTCACCTCACAGTTTTGGAGGCTGACGTCTAAGTGATGTGGTTTGGAATCTACCATGAGCACCCATACACACACCACTTACACTGTATCAAAGGCAAGTGCCACCATGATGGGAGTTCCTGAAAGAGGGAGACCAGTATCAGTCACTTTTGCTGCAGCATCTGCAGTGGCCTGATTGCCTTGACCTGGCACTAAGCCCTGCCCTTTCCTCCAATCACATTTGAGACCAGACTTCCAATCCGTGAACTTCTGGGATGAAGACCTCATCCAAACTCTGGTAACTGTTTAACTTGTCACCAGTGTGGCATCCACTGTGTGGTGTCCATCATGTGGCTGTGCTGTTGTGTCTTAAGACATGTGCCGGCTCTGAAGCATGTTTCCTAATGCTATTCTTATAAATAGTCCTATATCAAAACCCCTCCACCAGCTCTTCACACTTGAGTTCTTCGGATTGCTGGGTCAAAATATCACCCCTTTTTGTTTTATGTAATCCCACCAAACTGTCCCATAAGCAGCAAAGTGTGTTCCACTTGTGAGCATTGGCCCACACGTCTTTGCTGGTGGTCATTCTTATCAGTCTTTGGAGTTTACTGGTCTGCTGTGTAGAGTCAGGTTATCTTTTGTTTGTTTGTTTGTTTGTTTGTTTAAACACAGCATCTCATTTTATAACCCAGACTGTTTGAAGTCACAGTAGTCCTCCTGCCTCAGCCTCCAAAGTACAGAGATCACAGACATGAGCCACTGGACTCAGTAGTGTCTGGTTATGTTAATGCTGTGTCCCCATGGTGAGTAAAGACAAGCATAGAATGCTATTGGCTATAAAGAATGCTCTGACAGAAAGTGCCACATGCCCAGAACTTTTGGAGATTAATTACTTCGAGATTTGGACATCTCTATTCTACCAATGAATTACAGTTAATACCTGGTTTTGCAAGGGATTCTTGCTTAAGCATTTTCTCTGAAAATTACACCCTTTTTTGCTCCCAACAAACTCATAAAATTCCATCATATTTGCTCAAGTTTCCTTCCCTTTCAAAAGTTGGAAAAACTCTTGCCTTCTGAGTCAGAATAAAGATATGGTACCATTTTTCCCAACCACCTGGGAGATGAAATGGTCAACCAAACAGACAGAGACTCATTAACTGTTCCAGGTTTCTAGAATAAGATGCTCAGATGTTTGGTTAGTGACAGTGTTTTGTCGGGTAGGACAGAATCTTCTCTCTCCTCCAGTCTGGTGGTCCACTGACACCCTCTCTCCCCATTAGTGGTTGTGCCCTCCACCCCTGCAGCAGCCTCCTGTCTCGTAGTTCTCACCCAGATCTCCTGTCTTGTACTGTGTTTAGGAATGGTGGCATCTCTCAGTACTGTTGATTGCAGGTGCCTCTGAGGGGATGGGGATTATTGCTTCAGGTCCCTGAAGAGTTCAAGATACGCCTAGCTCTAGAGCAGCTGGTTTGGGGCTCAGAGACTGTCATTCTCTCAGGCTCTGGGCTGAGCAGGTCCTGGGAACATCTGGATCTGAGGGTGAGGGGCTTGTAGCACTCTTCAGCTCTGGCCATCCTGTTTGAAGCCCAGCAGAAGAGCCAGGGTCTTGCTCGAGAAGCACTGAGATGCACCCTCAGGCTGACCTCAGCCACACCGAGGCTCTCCACCATCCATGGTGGCCAGAGAAGGCACTCGATGATGCCTCTGGCCCTTCAAAACACATGCCTCACCCCCAGGACAAAATGGAGTCCTGTGGGCCACAGGGACTGAAAGCAGAGGGTTTGTCCCATGGGAAGGCTGAGGGCATCAGGCTGAGGACGTGGAAATAAATGGCTTGTTGAGATGAGTGGCAGAATACCAGTAGCCATCACCTAGACTGGCCAATGCACCCCTCGCCTCCTGCTGTATGTAGCTTTATCTTTTTTATTTTTATTTTATTTTGTGTGTATGGATATTTTGCCTGTATGTATGTATGTCTGTGTATGCCTGGCGCCCACTGGAATTAGCAGAAGGTGTTGGATTCCCTGGAACTGGAGCTATAGATGGTTGTGAGCTGCCTTGTGGGTGCTGGGCATCAAATCCAGGTCCTACAGAAGAGCAGCCAGTGTCCCTAACTTCTGAGCCGTCTCTCCAGGCCCTGTCCAGCCCACCCTCCATTCCTATTGTCTTGACCACCTCCGCCCAGGACTTGGTCTCTGCAGCCTTCAGATGTGGGTTCAGATTCTAGCTCCCTTCCCCATCCACCCCCGTCACTGTGTGAGAATTACTTGTATTTTTCACACGTCAGTTTCTCACAGTTCTTGAGATCCTCCCAAGGATTAAACACGGTTACTTAGCGAGGAGTCTGAGATGCAGTCAGTACTCCGTGTCAGATACGCTGGCTTCTGTAGCTCCTGGCATAGTAACACCATCCGCCCTTTTTTTTTTTTTTCTGTGCACCCTTTCAGTTTCAACTGTGAGTGTTTGAGAGAATCACACTCTCTTCTTTGCCAGTGTTATCTCCTAGCAGTGTGCTTAGCTCAGCCCCAGCTCCCCGAAGCCCTCCCTCTTCCTCTAGCCTTCTCCCAGGGAATTCCTTTTTACACCTCCTTGGCTGCACCTGATTTTCATCATCTTGTTTCCTACACAAGTTTTAGATCCCTGTGATACACACCCCACCCCACTTCCTGGGATGGAAGGGGGATGAGGTCCCATCCCGCCCCCCCTCTCTCTATTTCTATATTCTCACCATCACATCTGGACCTCGTTTGATTCCCTGGGGCTGTCTTGACACCCATCTTCCCAGCTTGTCTAAGGATGTGTTGTCTTTCCCAGAGATCCAAAGCACTGAACAGAGACGCCCGTTTGCATTTGCAGCTCACAAAATGGACAGGTGAGGGCTTATCAGAGCATACCTCAAGTCCTCTCAGCTTCTAAGCTTTGCTTCCAGTCCTGTCTTGGGACTGAAGGAACTCACATTCTAGTCACCTTTGGAGTAAATTCCCATTTCCTTGACAGGGCTTTTGAAGCTTGCACATATGCCTGGTCCCTACAAACTTACCTCTTGCCTTCCCTGTTCTCTGCGCCCCAACCACCTGGATCTCCCTGAACTTAGACTTGCACGGTTGGTCATCTGTTCATCTTTTATTCTGCAAATATTCATGAAGGGCATTTGATACTGAAATCATAGCAGTAGGAGAGGTAGTGTCTAATGCAACCTGCATTTGGGAGTGGGGGGAAAGTGCACTTAAGTCGGTAAGATGACTTTTACCATGATCTAAGCGTGGAGGCAGTAAGACAGAGAGAGGAAAAGGGTGGGGCAGTGGGTGAGAAGCAGCCACTTCTGTCTGAGTGATCAGAAAAGGCTGTGGAGAGGAGGCCTCCTAGTACAAGGAAGTCAGATGCACACAACTGAGGAAGAGCATATATGTGGGTCTGGTGGATGACTTGGTAAGCAAGCCTGACTGGAGTTTGATCCCCAAAACCCACATCAAAGAGGGATGGGGTAGCCAGATGCTGTGGCATGTGTCCATACCTCATCATCACAGTCTTGAAAGCAGCCCATTGAGTACCTGGCACAGAGTAAGTGTTCTCTTAAATGCATGGCTGTTTGACTGGCTGGCTGGGTGAGGGCATGACTTGAACTAAACAGCTGTGAAACCTTTCTACCTGTAAATTTCTCATATAGACTTGGCTGGCTGGCAAGATGCTTCAGCAGGTTGAGCGCTTTCCTCCAAGCCTGACAACCCAAGTTCGATTCCCTAGGACCCACAAGGTTGAAGGCGAGAACCAGCTCCAGCAAGTGGTTCTTTGTCCTCCACACCTGCACAGTGATACATTGCTCCCCCAACACCCCCCAAAAAAACTGTTTTAAAAGGTTGGAATGACAGGGTACAACGTGGACACTGCCCTGGGATTCTGTGTAAGGAACCAGCCTTCTCAGAAATGGCCCCACATTCAAGCTCTCTGTACTTTCTCTGGCCTTCCAGAATCTGTTCAACTCTGGGTGATGTATGGCTAGACAAGCCGCAGCAGAAGTACTTGATAAACACATTTTCAGCCTCGTGTCTGCAGATTTTGGAGTCAGATCTGATGGGGTTGGAGTCCCATGTGTGTTACTGGTGCCGGATCTGGCACAAGATGGTTCAGCTCTCTGAGCGTCACTTTCGTTAGCTGTGATGAAGTGACACCCAGTGTGTGGGTTTCTGTGGTTGACAGGAAGAGGCAGTGATGTGCTTTGCTCAGGGGTCTGCCTTGTGAGCAGGGATTACATCAGCACTCCCACTGGACTGGCCCTCCGTCCCATGAGAGACATCATGTTGTAAGTCACCCCACGGGGGGTGTCCTCAGCCTCTCTAGGCACAGCAGAGCTGACCCATGAGAGACATCGTGTTGTAAGTCACCCCACGGGGGGTGTCCTCAGCCTCTCTAGGCACGGCAGAGCTGACCTGGTAGTGTTGTTGCAGGGATGAGAGGCGGGCTTTGTCAAGTTCCTGGCACACAGTAGGACCTTGCATATATGGCAACAATGGCATCAGCTTTAAAACATGTATGACCCTGGCTGAGACTGTGGAGTTTTCAGCCTCACAAAGGATTTTGTCGCATGCCACTCTGATGCAGGAGTGACTCACTGGGGAGACAGCTGAAGAAGGCTACAGAGTGTCCTTAGCACAGTCAGGTCCACTGTTGCTAATTCAGGTAAAGCGGAGCCAGTTGAAGAGGAGTGAGAGATTTTTCCCTGGGGTGAGGGCCAGGGGCTGCCCTATTTAACTTGGAGAGGGAAGAAGGAAGCGGCTCCTGTCTCCATTGCTCTCAGTGGCTCCTTCCTCAACGCTAAGCACTAACCAGAGTGAAGGAACCTGCCTGCCGGCCTTCCAGGTACTGTGAGGCCCCATCTCTTCAGTCTGTAGATGGTGCCCAGCTTGGGTCCTCGCTTTGAACTCACCTCCTTCCGAGACTGGGGACCAGTGCTCAGGACTCCAGCAGGAACCCATCTGGGAAGGGTTTATGGCACCTCGACTCTAGACCCCTGTGGTCTGGTGGCCAGCCCTCTGAATGATACCATCATCAGCAGTGGAGGGCTACTTTACCCGTTCCTGCCCTCGTGCTAAATTGAGCAGTGCAGATTTCTTTTGTGACAGGTCTTCTGATTTGAGAAGTCATGTGGTAAATTATTGAATATGTAGAGAGACCAGGAGAAAACAAATTTGGGGGGGGGCGGGGGTTTTTAAAGCCCCTGACTTAGTAAGTTGTTTAATATTGAAGTCAGGCAAGGTTAGGGAGCAGGAAACGCTGCCTGCCTATCTGAGCCACAGACTGAACACTTGGGGCATAAAGCTGTCTCTTTAAGTCCTGGAAGCCACAAGGATAAGGAGCTTCGTAACCCCAAAATCTTAGGGGTGAGAACTGTACCAGGTAGGGAGCAGACTCTGCTCTCTCAACCCTAGAGGTTTATTCTGCAGGAAATTCTGCTGTTAACCCAAATATAGATGTAATTGACCCTCATCAAATTGATTTTCAGGAAGTATTAGCTTGTGTGGGAGGGTGTATCCTACTTTGGATGTGCAATAAAAACCAAGATTTATTGTTCTAAAGTTAGCTCTGAGAAGAGAGGAGACCAGCCAACTCCATGACTTTGGGGTCCGCAGCGTTTCCTCAGTTCTGACGACGAGTACATGATAGTAGAGTGTTTGTCTGACTCTTATCTTCAGGGCATGGAATAAGAACACAGAGCTACTTGGAGATGGAGATAAAGCCCAGCTGGTAGAATGATTGTCTAACAGGCATAAACCATGGGTTCCAGCCCTACCATAGCATGTACCAGGCCTGGCATCCCAGAACCGGGGAGGTAGAGGCAGGCTTCCTCAGCTACATAAGAGTTTGAGGATAGCCTGGAATTCATGAGATTCCTCCCTCCCTCCCCCCCAAAAAGATACAGCTCTTTGGGTTTCCAAGCTGGAGTGACCACTTGGCAGTGTGGGAACACATGAAAGCACAGAACCACTGTGGCACTCCCAGGGATGAGCCAGAAGGCAGCTGTAGAGCACAGCCTGTAAGGATGAGAGACAGCGTTGAGGACAGAGGCCAAGGTCAGCACCTCAAAGGCTGCTGCTGCTGGGGTCCACTGATAAAGAAAAGGAAGAGAGTCCAATCAAACTGCTCAGCTATCCTGTGGAACAGAATTTCTCCATGAGCTTACAGTGAGACTTGATTTAAAGTATTTGTGTGTGTGTGTGTGTGTGTGTGTGTGTGTGTACAAATGCTGGTGTGCACGTGGCATTCATACGACAACTTCCATCCAGTTGATTCTTTCCCTCTGCAATGTGGTTTCTGGGGATGGAAATCAGGTTGTCAGTGTTAATGGTGGTGTAATCCTTAAAGGCAAGAGGATGGAGAGTTCAAGGTAATTCTCAGTTACATAGCAAGTTCAAGGTCAGCCTGGACCCCTCCTTGAGGCATAGAGTTGGCAAGGTGGCTCAGCAGGTGAAAGTACGTGCCACCAAGGCTGGCAACCTGAATTCTGTCCCCAGGAGCTACATGGTGAAAGGAGAGATCTGACTGTTGCGAGTTGTGTCCTCCACACACGCACCATGGCACACGTGCACACACAAAATAATAGGTAGACAATCAGTCACCTCCACACACGCACCATGACACATGTGCACACACAAAATAATAGGTAGACAATCAGTCACCTCCACACACGCACCATGGCACTTGTGCACACACAAAATAATAGGTAGACAATCAGTCACCTCCACACACGCACCATGACACACGTGCACACACAAAATAATAGGTAGACAATCAATCACCTCCACACACGCACCATGGCACACGTGCACACACAAAATAATAGGTAGACCATCAATCACCTCCACACACACCCCATGACACACGTGCACACACAAAATAATAGGTAGACAATCAATCACGTCCACACATGCACCATGACACACGTGCACACACAAAATAATAGGTAAACAATCAGTCACCTTCACACACGCACCATGACACATGTGCACACACAAAATAATAGGTAGACAATCAGTCACCTCCACACATGCACCATGGCACATGTGCACACACAAAATAATAGGTAGACAATCAGTCACCTCCACACATGCACCATGACACATGTGCACACACAAAATAATAGGTAGACAATCAGTCACCTCCACACATGCACCATGGCACACGTGCACACACAAAATAATAGGTAGACAATCAATCACGTCCACACATGCACCATGACACATGTGCACACACAAAATAATAGGTAGACAATCAATCACCTCCACACATGCACCATGGCACATGTGCACACACAAAATAATAGGTAGACAAATAAATAATAAAGAATTGTAGGGAAGCCGGGAAATGGTGGCACACACCTTTAATCCCAGCACTCAGGAGGCAGAGGCTGGTGGATCTCTTAAGTTCAAGGCCAGCCTGGTCTACACAGTGAGTTCTAGAACAGCCAGGGCTACACAGAGAAACCCTGTCTTAGAAAAACAAAACAAAAAATTATAGAAAAGTACAGATAACCTTTATTTCCACATAACTTGGGATTTCTGTGGCGAAGGCATTCAAACGTTGAGAGTGGTGAGTGAGACCGCTTGCTGGACTCTGCAGCCCACACTTAGACCTGTACACAAGAGCAGCCCTTGTGCTGGGAATTGCATTCTTCTGTCCCCTGGACTAGCGTGAATCTGCACTCATCCTGGAAAGCTGAGCTTCTGGGTGGTCACAGGGCTCTGATCACCATGTTATAAATATAGCGGGGTTCTGCTGTGTGCTCCCAGATCAAAGTGGAGACAGTCATGGCTGAGCCATCATAGAGCCATGTATCTGAAGGGCAGGACCTTTTCACTGAGTTCCTGCTCATTTTTCCATCTATGCTGGAGTGAGTCCGTCCGACTCCAGCGAGCTATTGTTCTGTCTTGAGTGGTGGTACTGCATACAGAACTAGGATCTGTCTCTTGGAGGCTTCCAGGGTGGGCAAGCCTTGACAGGTGAGCCCTGCCCAGTGTCACAGAGCCCCTCGTCTAGCCTCAGCTCACACCTTTAGTCATCACCCAGTACCTCTCCTGACACTTGCCAGGTTTGTGTGTATGTGGAGTGGAGGTGAAGGTGGCAGTGGAGGTGAGGGTGGAAAGGCAGTGGGAGGCAGAAGCTGAAGTGGGTGGTCTGGGGTGGCAGTTTCAGTGTGGTGATTATTACACCGAGGGAGTGTGCCAAGGGTGGCTTTCTGGAGGAGGTGGTATTTAAACCAGGTTCCCTCAGCAATAGAAAGGACTGGGCATGGGGGCAGGTTCCAGAGATGAGTACAGAATGCCATTGGGGAGTTCTGACTGTGGTGTGGGCTGAATATGCTGCTGCCGTTACAGGGACATGGACAAGGTGGAGCGGCAGGCCATGCCACAGGCCAACCACACCGACACCTGTCAAGAATGTGGCCATGTGGGACCTGGGCACTCGAGAGATTGTCCTCATCGAGGCTATGAAGACTCCTATGGCTTCGACAGGAGGGAGCCGGAGGAGGAGCGCTTCCGCTCTCAAAGAGACCCACTGGAGGGCAGGCGGGACAGGAGCAAGGCCAGGTCCCCGTACTTGCCAGCTGAGGAGGATGCCTTATTTGTGGATCTACCCGGTGGTCCCCGAGGCCAGCAAGCACAGCCACAGCGGGCCGAGAAGAATGGCATGCCACCTGTCTCTTATGGCCCAGGAGAACAAAATGGGACCAGTGGGTACCAGCGTGCTGCTGCTCCCAGGGCCAACCCAGAGAAACACAGCCAGAGGAAGATGGCCCAGGCAGAACACTGGGCAAAGGCTCAGAAGGGGGATGGAAGGAGGTCAGTCATCGTGTTGATGTGTGGCTAATGAACAGGGTAAATGGGTGTGTGTGTGTGTGTGTGTGTGTGTGTGTGTGTGTGTGTGTGAGAGAGAGAGAGAGAGAGAGAGAGAGAGAGAACAGCTGTCATTTCCCCAGTACCTGCTCAGCTAATTAACCTCTCTACCTCTATGAGAATACCCTTAGTAGCCCTCCAAGAAGGGATGATAGCTCTAATTTATAGACCAGAGGGATGGGGAAGGGAAGCAGCCTGCCTAGGACACACAGATTAGTGGCAGGGCCAGAGTTTAAAGTGTGGTCTGGGGACACAGACACAGCCAGCGGTGTCACTAACTGGTTGACTCTTACACTGCTGCCCCTCTGCTTCTGAGGAGTCCCTATAGACTCTTGAAGGCACTGAGACCCAGCTGTCACCCCCAGATGCCTGGAGGAGTCCAGGGAAGAGCCTAGGCACTACAGACATTCGTCTGTCCTGTCAGGGAGCACAAACTGTCCACCTGGGGCTCTGGAAGCTGGCATTGCTCTTGGGAGAATAGCTGCAGCCTGTCATCAGAGGTGGGCATGGTGTCCATGTGTGTCTGGCCCACATGGCTGTGAACAAACTAAAGAACTTCATTTAGCGACATGGCCGTGGGGCTGACCAGAGGGGAAGCCTTCTGTGTTGTAACTAAGAGACTTGCCCCTTCTCCTTAGGAAAGAGCAGGTGTCAGCTCTATTTATTTAAATGTTGTGTTTTACTGAAAACAAAAGGCTGTAGCCCCAGAACAGAGGGGAGTGGCACTGTTGTCCTTGGTGCTGAGCCGGTAGTTGTGAGGTGACCCATGGCTGAGTGAGGTTGCAAAGCCGATAGGGTTATATCATAGAGCCTCATAGTTGAAGGTCAGGCATTTAAATTAACAAAAAGAGCGATAGGAGGCGTGACTGGAAGGTTTTATACCCTGAGTGATTGGCTCTGATGATGTTACTGCTACAGAGCTGGGAGGAGGTGGCGGCTGCAGCAGCCCAGGGTGGTAATGTCACACATGGAAACAACAGATGAGGTTAGAAAGGGTGGTGTGTATGTCCGTGCTTTAGATGTGCATGGTGAAGGGGAGGGAGCGGCGAGAATAAGCCCTCGAATTGGGACTTGAGCAAGTGAGTAGCAGCTGAGATGAGGAAGGCTGAGGAAGGTCTTTTTTTCTTCCAGTAAGTGTCTTTGACTTAGGTAGGGACATCTTGTATTGCCCGTCTTGATAGAGCTAACAACTTTTTTCACTTGAAAAAAAATTTGAATTTATGTGTATAGCTGTTTTGCCTGCATATATGTTTGTGTACTAGATGTGTGGCCAGTGCCTACAGAGGCCAGAAGAGAACACTGGGTCCCCTAGAACTGGAGTTAGAAACGGTATCATGTGGATGCTAGGAACCAAACCTGAGTCCTCTACAGGAACAGCAAGTGCTCTTCACAGCCAAGCTGTCTCTCTATACCCTTTTCTTTCTTTCTTTCTTTCTTTCTTTCTTTCTTTCTTTCTTTCTTTCTTTCTTTCTTTCTTTCTTTCTTTCTTTCTTTCTTTCTTTCTTTCTTTCTTTCTTTCTCTTTCTTTCTTTCTTTCTTACAGGATCTCACTATGTAGCCCAGGCTGGCCTCAAACTCACAGAGCTCCACCTGCCTTTACCTTCCAAGTGCCGTGATGAAAGACGCACACACCACACCCAGGCAGAGTAGTTTCAAAGTTTAAGTCTGAAGGCAGTTGACTATAGGAATGAAGGGGTCACTGGGATGCCTGGCCAGTGAGAACCTTTCATAGGACAAAATATTTGCAAAAAAGCAGACAACTGAGGTTCTAACTGGTTACTGATGAAATGTGTCTCCGTAAGCCTTTCTGACAGCCCACAGACATCCCTTACTTCACTACACACAATGGCCTGTCCTGCAGGAGGCATGGGGGCGGCATGTATCAGGGAGCCAAAGGGTGAGTGGTCAGCACGGGAATGAGAGGCGGTGGCACTGAGGGCTGATGGTGCTAGTGTTCCCCAGGATGTGAGGTAGGAGTTGGTGCCGTTCTTACCTAAAGGGCAGGGGGAGGGGCGATCATCTGTCTGTAGAGAGCAGTTCACTGGCCTTAGAGGTCACTGCAGAGCCCAGTGGTGGAAACTGATCTTAGTGGGATCGAAAGTGGGTCACAGTGAATCAGTCCTGAAGTGAGTCCCGAAAGCAGAGTATAGAGGAGAATGCCCATCAGCCCGAGGCTGCACCATGTCTCGAAAGGACTGCATCCTACATTCCCAGATATTTATCCTTAAGGATGTATGTAGCTGGGCTCACCAGAGGGTAGCTGTCAGTTCTGGGCCGGTCTGTTCTACATACACACACTCTCTCTCATATATATATAAGTATAATTGTAATGTCCATTAGTGAGTGACAAATGGATCTGGCTGCTTAAGGAAGGAACTTGATCCATTTTCCATTTGAAAATGCAGAGAAAGAAGCTGGCTACCTCTACTTTGTGTATAGTTAAGACGGTGCTGACCTCAATGTCACTGGACAGAGCACATAGTGGCGTTGGAAGGAAGACTGTTAGACTGCTTTGGTCCACGTGGGGAACTCTTTCTAACTTATCCCCATATTTTGAGATACATCTCTATTGCTTTCCCTATCACTTAACTCTGTCGGAATGGGGATAGCAGGAGTCTCCCATACCCTGCGTCCTAACTTGTCCTGCGAGCTTGTTTTTGAAATGTGCGCGCCTGCTATCTCCACCCGCACCCAGTGTTTAAAGTAAAGTGCACTTGTCGGATGAAAAGGTGGGGTGGGGCCGGGGATTAGAAGTGGATTTGAGGGAACACAATAGGAAATGAAAGGCCTGCATGATTGATGCGGAAGCTAGTTTGAGGAACTCCTGCAGCACACATGAGTGGTCACCAAGTTGATCTTATGCTTTGACGGGACTGTATCTGGAGTGACTTTCTCAGGATATCCTGTTTAGCTTTTCTGTTCTTGGAGCCACAGAGCAGGTAGGAGACCAGGAGGTCCTGATCCCATCTGTGGAAGGCCAGGCTAGACACATGCCTGTTGTCAGGACAGAGCTTCCCCAGGAGCACCCACGGCTCCTGCTCCTGGGACCTGTCGTGGCCCTCCCTCCATCAGCCAGTTAATTATTACAGTTTGGCCTCAGGAGCCAATGCCCACCATCATCCTACTATCTGAGGTCACCTCAAATGGCAGACAGTGTGTAAATGGAAGGCGTGGACTGGAGGATGGGCTCAGCATTTGGGGCACTGTCCGGTGGGTGTGGGGGTGGAGGGGTGCTGCGAGGGCTGGAGAGACAGAAGGAGCTTGGCCGGGACATACTTTGCATACTTCAAGTTTTACTTCAGGCAGAATGAACAATGGTTACAAAGTCCTGACCTCCAGGGGAGGCCACCTCTGAGGGTTTGGGTGCTGCTACCACATCAGACATGGGCTTTGGGAAAATGAATGAAAACTCTGCCACCTAGTGGCAAGCAGGCACACTTGCATGCTAGACAGGTTTTGGCTGAAGAGATCTTAAAATTACTCTGACTGAATGAAAAGAAACTGTTAAAGGGAAGCTACCATATTTGATGGCACCCATTTCTACTCCTCACAATGATCTAGTCAGAGGTTCTTATTACTCACATTTTATAGAATGGGAAGTGAGACTCAGAAAAGACACAGACCTGAGGTCAGACAGATATAAATGATTTTATTTGTTTGTTTATTTATTTAGTTTTTTTTTTTTTTTTGAGACAATGTTTCTTTGTGAAACAGTCCTGGCTGTCCTGGAACTCACTCTGTAGACCAGGCTGGCCTCAAACGCACAGAGATCTGCCTGCCTCTGCCTCCCAAGTGCTGGGATTAAAGGTGTGTGGCACCACCGCCTGGCCCTCAAAACTATATTTTAGATAAGGTCTTGAACCCAGGGCTTTGTGCATTCTTTGCAAGGATTCTTAGCAACCAAGCTATATCCTAGCCCTGTATTTAAAAGATTTTTTAGATTTATTTTATATGTATGAATGTTTTGCCTGCATGTATGTGTACCATGTGTGTTTCTGCTGTCTGTAGAGGTCAGAAAAAAGAGTCCGAGTCCCTGGAACTGGAGTTACAGATGGTTGTGAGCCACCACATAGGTGCTGGGAATTGAACCCGGGTCCTTTGCAGGAGCAGCCAATGCTAAGGCTTCCCTCCATCTTTTACTTTTAACCAAAAAGGAATAATTATGGAGTTAGAGAGATGGCAGTTGGCAAGCTTGAGAACCTGAGTTCAGGTTCAGTCCATATAAATGCCAGGTGTTTCATCTATGCCAGGCAATTCCAGTGTTAGGGGACAGACGGATGGATCTGGGAGCTCACTGGCCAGCCAGCTTAGTCTGAACAAGAAGTTCCAGGCCAATGAGAGACACTGTCTGAAGGGAACAGGTAGAGTGTTAGAGCAGGATACTTGATGTCTTCTTCTGGATACACACATGTACATGGGCATCCACACCTGAATACATGTGCACACACACAAAAACACACACACATACATGCACCATGCATCTAAAAAAAGTAATAATTATATATTGATGGAATAGATGGGATATTCTAATATGTGCATACATTGTGAAGTGGTTGAAACAAGATAATTAACACTCATCACCTCACCCACATATCTTTTATGTGTGTATGTGGTGAGAATACTCAGTCTTGAAGTATATATCATTAGTAGCTGTGGTCAACATGTTGTGCAGTGGGGCTCTAATACATGCTCCCTTGATCTGGTTGAAGGTTTGCACACACTGACCAACATCTCCCTCTTTATCCTGCCGACCCCAGCTCTGGTAATGACAGCTTTACTCATTTCTTCTCTGTGTCCCACGTAGAAATGAGAGTGTACAGTGTCTGGCTTAAGTCGGGAACCTGCCTTTTGAACAAGGCCTTGGGTACTGCTGCTGCCACTGCCTTCACTGACCATGGTTGGAGTTAGCATCGGCCCAGAGCAATGTCTGACACACAGTAATGCACTGTGTACAAGTTTGCTATGTGACGTTGATAAGACAGAACCAGGATTTGAACTCTGGCTTCTGTAACCCCAGAGCCTATTCTCTTTAAAACACTACACTACCTTGAAGATTAAACCAAAAAAGCAAACAAAAAAATGAATTTGTGTGTGTGTGTGTGTGTGTGTGTGTGTGTGTGTGTGAGAGAGAGAGAGAGAGAGAGAGAGAGAGAGAGAGAGAGAGAGAGAGAGAGAGCGCGAGAGAGAGCGCGCAGGCACATGAGCAGGCACATGAGAATGTCACAGTGCACACATAGCAGTCAGGAAAACTTTTGAGAGTCAGTTCTCTCCGGCCACTGTGGGTTCCGGTGAGTTCAGAATGTCAGGCCTGCACGGCAAGCACTTTTACCTAGGAAGCCATCTCACTGGCCATAGCTTTAATATTTTTAAATTTATGTTGTGGATGTTTTGCCTGCTTGTGTGTCTGTGCATCACCACACATGCTTAGTGCCTATGGAAGTCAGAAAGAGGGCATTAGATCTCTTGGAACTAGAGTTACAGATAGTTATGAGCCCTTTGTGGATGCTGGGTTTGAACTTGGGTCAAAGCAGCAAATACTCTGACTGCTGAGTCATCTCTCCAACCCCTAAACTTTTTTTTCCCCTTAAGATAAGGTCTCTGGTATCCTAGGATGGCCTAGAACTTACTATGTAGCTGAGGATGATCTCGAACTTCTGATCCTCCTACCTCCACCTCCCTATTGCTGGGATTATAAGTATATGCCATGACATCTGGCTTGGATTTTAATTTTTTTTTTAATTTCATATTTTGTCCCTTGCTACTGTTTTTCTTCTGTCAGGAAATGGGATAGCCAGTGGTAGTAGCTTTCCTACCTGGTTGTTGCATCAGGATTTTCTCAGACCATGGAGTGTGAGACATATTTTCTGTCCTTTAAGAATGTTCAGCTTGGCTGGGGAAGAGATGTCTTGGGAATATTAAAATCACATCAGTCCAGGACCTTAAAAAAGTCCCATTCTGAAACAACAAGCTGAATAGTAAACATACTGCAGGCTGTGGGCCTGGGAGAAACGTGGGCCATTTTCATGGAGAATGAGTAAGACTTGGATAAACAGGGCTTGGGGAGCCTGAATACAGATGGAAGAGCAGTGTTGTGAGGACCGGAGGGAAGAAGACATTGGTGAAGGACCTTCTGGCTGTCAGCCACAGAGGATGCATTTCCCTTACTGGCCTCATTAGTTCTCAGAACCCCTAGATGAAGCAGTAATACTACCTCACATACAGGTAGGGAAACCGAGGCTCAGAGCATTCAGTAATCCTCCCGAGGTCACATAACCTATGTATGGTAGAATTGAGATTCAAACCTAGGGCAGGCTACACCCTACTTTTGCTTTTTGTAATGAAAAGGTACTGAGGTGGGGGAGCTCCCTGCCAGACAACAGGTATGGGGTGTTCATGGGGCATTGGGGGTACTCCTCCATCATTTGCCCTCCAGGCTATTGGCCCTGGAAGGAGCAGTGAGAAAACAGCAGGATTTCCAAGTAGGTTGTCATCAGATATTAAAAAGTTATGAGCACCAGGCCAAGGATTTAAGCGTTACATAGGCAGCAGGAGCTGGGGAGGGTTGGGGCACACCGGGGTGATTAGATCAGGTGACCGTGTACAGGAAACACATTAGGAGGCTCTCAGAGTTGTCTGGAGGAGGAGGAACCAGTCTCTGGGTTGGAGGGTGGCAGAGGGAAGACTCCCACTCCAGCCCTTTTCTTTGTGAGTGTTGAGGGTTGCTGCTAGGCTCCCCAGCAGCAGGAGAGAACTGAGACCTTCCCAGATCCACACACATTGCTTGCCATTGACAGCTGGCAGGAGAGAAGAAACAGTTTAATGACGCTGTACCAGGAGTGATGGGCAGGGGAACCCGTGGTGGTCCTGGCTGTCAGTGAAAATTGCCTCTGGGGTCTTCTTCAGTGAGAAGCCCTACTATGCGTCTGGTTCAGTCACTGTTTGGGGTCCTCACAGTCTCCCCAGTAAGCTGACCTCGTGGATTTCCTTAGCTGTGTTGCTTCATGACATCATTCCCTCTCTCTCTCTCTCTCTCTCTCTCTCTCTCTCTCTCTCTCTCTCTCTCTCTCTCTCTCAGCTTGCCCTTAGACCAGACGACACTTCCTCGCCAGGGTCCCAGTCAGCCCCTATCCTTCCCGGAAAACTACCAGACTCTTCCCAAGAACACTAGATATCCTTCTGGGAGCTCTTCACCCCCTCCCCGGAACCTGCCCAGTGACTACAAGTACGCACAGGACCGAGCCAGCCACCTGAAGATGTCCAGTGAGGAGCGCCGGGCACACAGGGATGGTACCGTGTGGCAGCTGTACGAGTGGCAGCAGAGGCAGCAGTTCCGGCATGGCAGCCCCACGGCGCCCATAGGAGCTGGCTCCCCAGAGTTCACTGAGCAGGGCCGCAGCCGGAGCCTGCTGGAGGTGCCCCGCTCCATCTCCGTGCCTCCATCTCCTTCTGACATCCCTCCTCTAGGGCCTCCCAGGCCCTTCCCACCCCGGCGGCCACATACACCAGCAGAAAGGGTCACAGTGAAGCCACCTGACCAGAGGAGGAGTGTGGACATTTCTCTGGGAGGTTCTCCCAGGAAGGCACGGGGTCATGCTATCAAGGTGAGGCCTGGGAACTTCTGCCCGGTGACTGGGGTCTGGCATTGAGAGACAGAGTCACTCAGTGGCTTCCTGGCAGCCTACAAGCAAGAAAAGGTGTTGGTGTTCAGTCAGTTCATTTATCCATAACAACCCAACTGAGGTCTAATTCTCCAGGCACCTTTCAATTTGCTGTGCTGTGCCCAGTGAGGACCATGGTGTATTCATTTTGGGCTCAGACAGGTGGAAGGGCACGTGGTAGGTAGGCCTGGCTGTGAGTGACTGAGGTGTCCTTGCCTGGCCTCAGTCTGGCTTCTCCCCTCCTGTTACAGAACTCCTCTCATGTGGACCGACGGTCCATGCCGTCCATGGGCTACATGACTCACACTGTCAGCGCTCCCAGCTTACACGGAAAATCCGTAAGTGGCCCCTCATTTCCCTCTCCAGGTGATCAACATACCGTCGCATATGAGACCCTAGCCCATGGTATTTCCGCCCTTAGGGCCAATCAATTTTCAATCAATTTTTTAGCCCACAGAGTAGCTTTTAACCCTTCCTTAGTGATGAGGAGACAGAGAGGCCCAGTGGCTCACCCAGGCTTTGTAGCAGGCTCTCCAAAGACTGAGGAGAGTGGAGGAGAATGTTGGGCTGGTCCCCTCTTTGGATATTCTAGCTACCTGCCTTCTCCTTTAGCATCCCTCCTTTCTTCCCTGCCCTTCACTGTGATTGGTTAACTCTCCCTTCAAAGCACTCATCCTTCTGGTGAAGCTGAGCTGGTGGCTTCTAGGAAAACAGCTTCCTGTGCCCTATGCTGGCGGTGCCTTTATTTGCGATCATTGCCTAGTGGTGTCACAGCAGTGTGTCCCGGCACGGGGTGAAGAGTGTAACTGCAGCCGTGTGCCCTGCGGTGGCTGACTCCCTCCCGATGTGTCTACACGCCCGCAGCTAGAAGAGCTCTCGCTGCTGCTCACTCGGTTGCAGCGGCACCAGGCCAAGTTGGCCAGCGTGCGCAATTTCGCCGTGGGCCAGTTACTGCACCACTACCTGACCTTTCCTGCCTGCCAGGTCAGCGCCGGTGGGCTCTCCTGGGCCCCGGCAGGGATGGCCTGCCACCCATGTTCCCCTGTGCCGTGTGCGCTGGTCTGTCCTGCTGCCTGGCTCTCTCCCTCTTCCCTTGCCTGTTTGCTCCTGGGTGCTACAGCCAGTCACTGTGGGCAACGGTGGAGCACCCCCACCCCCACCCGCTCTGCTGCAGGGGAGGGGCTGCATGGGGTGGGACAGACCTGAACCTTGCTTCTTGAGCTATGCAGAGTGATTGCCAGGCTGGCACATGGTCATCTTGTCTAAGAGCTGTGCCCTGTCACTCATGTCACTCAGCCTTGTCACTCATTGAAGACATGTGGGTCAGCCTGGAGGGAAATGCAGGGCACCTCCACTTGTGGAACAGCTCTTATCGTTTGTCCTGTTTAGCCTTGTAGGAACCTGCATACGTAAGGTGGAACCGGGTTGTCATTATAGGACAAGAGGACCCTGAAGGGGCAGCGACTCACTGCTGTGCCCCCAGGAGCTTGCAGGCTGCAGCCAGAATCCCTCTTTTGAGTGTTAAATAGCACCAGGGCTTGGGCTTGGCACTCAGGCTTCCTGAGACTCCCCAGGGAGTGGCTCTCCTGGGCTCCTGGAGCAGCTAAAGGAAACAGACTCCTGCCTGTCTGCAGAGTTGTGCTTGGGCAGCAGTGGTTCAGCCACAGAAGCCTGCCCTCCATGCAGCACAAAGCCAGGCAGAGGACAGATGTGGGTGCTAGGATTGTCACTTTCCTTCCCTGACCCCTTTTAGCAAGACCTGAAGGACCCAGGAAATGTAATTAGAAAGACAGGCGTTAAGAGAGGCCATGTTAAAAACAAACAAACGTAAGTTGTGAGTTTGAATAGATGACTCAGTGGTTCAAGAGCTCACCATCAAAGTGTGTGAGACCTGTAAATGCTGGGTGGGAGTGGCTGTCCTCCTGTGATGCCAGCCCCAGAGCAAGCTGCCTAGTAAGACTAGCTGTCTCAGAGAGTTCTGGGTAATTGAGAGACCCTGCCTTATAAATAAGGTGGAAGAGCAATGGAGTGTTCACACATATGTGTGTACCCCACACATGCAAGAATATGCACGCACACATGCATACTACACACACACACAAAAAAAAAAAAAAAAAAAGGAAAAGGAAAAAATTCTAAGTCGCAAATTTGGTTTTGAATAACATGCTCCAGCTGTCTTCTCTCCTCCTGTTCAGAGTGTGTGAGACAGTGACCTGGGAAAGCGGGTGGGGAAGGAGGCAGTATAGGGAAAGCCTGTGCAAGCCACAGCATCCCTCACAGACAGGGCTCCTGCCTAAGCACTGTGTGAAATTCTCATGTGTTGTATGTGATGGTCTCGCACCAGAACTGTCTACCTTTCCCATCCTTGGCTTGCTCAGCTGGAGGCCCTCAGTCCACTAAGAACATGGTAACTGGACCATTCTTAAGCTCGTGCGACTCTTCTGCCTCAGTTAGCTTCTGTGACCTGTTGAACGGGAGTGTGACTTGTGAGGAGCCTTATTGTCAATAATTACACTGAAGAGCTTGATAGGCCACGAGAGACACCACAGACAGTCTTACCCAGGAACCCTTCCCTAGTTCCTAGTGTGGCTGCTTTAGCTTCTTACTGAACAAAAATCTTCCAGCAAACTTGTAGCAGCTGCTACTTATCCTCCTGGAGTCAAGGTCATACTGAGACCTGCTGGATCACCAAGTTGTCTCTCTGCCTTTTCCAGCCATCTGTCCACATCACTGGGGGTCATGTTACTTCATGCACGTGAGCCAGCCCAGCCCAAAGGTTTGATGCCAAGAACGAGAGCAGTGGCATCAATGGGATCCTAGCTTGTGTGTGGCAAGAGCTCTTCCAGGCAGATCTCCTGGTTCTGCCTCAGGAGCCCGTCATCCGCCTCCTCTGCTCTACTGCCTAGCTCTCCTGTTGGCTCCTCCCCATCCATCCACAGTGGGTGCGGGGATAAGCTGGCTTTCCCCATAGTGACCCCCAAGCTCTGCCATGCCGAAAGAGGGCTCCGAGTTGCAGCAAGACATCTGTGCTTCCTCCATGGCCCGGTGTGTCGGTCTGCTGTGGTCCCGTGTCTCCAGAGTTGTGTAATGTGAATGATCTACTTGAGAAGACCTGATTCTTTTAACCCCTAGTGTTTGTAACTGTTTTTTTTTCTCTCTCTGCTTCCTGGGAAGGCTGATGACACCTACCTCCAGCTGAAGAAGGACCTGGAGTACCTGGATCTAAAGGTGGGTGGTAGGGCTGGAAAGATGGCTCGGTGTTCAGATGTACTTGCTACTCTTGCAGAGGACCCAGGTTCAGTTCCCAGGACCCACCTCAGGCAGTTCACTACCACCTATTACTATGTTCTAGAATAATCAGTTCCCTCTGGCCTCCACCAGCACCTGCATGCACATGGGTCAATAAGCTCACACACTACTCCTAAATAAAGATAATACATCTTTGAAGGTGAGTGGCATCAGGATCCCACCTCCCACGGACACTCATCTTTCTGAGAGTATTACCTACTGGAGCCCAACACTCATGGTCTACACCCTAAGTGAAAACCATTGTCTGAATCAGAAGAACTTCATTGCTTACAGTCTGATTCTTGTAAAGTTGCTTGTGAGTCCTCTTGAGAGGTCTCTGGATTAGAGAATGGGAGTCATGATGTTGATCTTTTTCCTTCCCTTAGTTAGACCCAGAGATTCCTGGAAAATAGCCATTGGCTTCGTCAGAGCCTCTTTTGCTGGTGGGAGTATATTTGGTTCATAGGGAGTGGCTGATGTGTGTTTTCAACCACAAGTGGCTTGGTGGGTCCTTTGGGTTTGTTGATGAGGTTGCAAGTTCTACATGGAGTCATGGGGCCTTGAGGCCCACCCCTAACCTCTCCCTTTAGAGCTGAGCACTAACTAGGAGCCTGTACACACTTAAAGCTCAGGCTCTGACTCAGCCTTCTCAACAGAGCTGAAGGGCTCCTGGGGAAATGGGATGCATTCTTTCCTGGAGAAAGCTGCTACCGACTTGCTACAGCCCTGCACATTCCTTCTGAGGACAGCCCTTCTCGTGCTGGGGCTGTGGAACAGACTGGAAGGGAGAAACCTTAGTCAGCCCAGGGAGGGAAGGGGCCTATGGACCATGCTTATCTCTCCTGCACTGTGTACCTGGCTCAAGCCATTTCTAACTCAGGGACCTTTCAGCCTCATGGGGCTCAGCTGTAGATACTAGCACCTAAGGCAGCAGGTGGGGCTTTTCCCATGCTGACAGCCCACCAAGGGTTTTGGTTTAATATCTCCCAGTTCACTTATGCATCTGTTAAGCACTTGCTGTATGCCCAGCTCTACAGAAGACAAGGTCAGATGCAAAAGGAAAACTCAGGCCCTAGTCATAAGAAATTTCCAAATAGTATGGGCTAGGGAAAGAAATATCCCCAAATGATAGTATATACAGTGATCATGGAAAGATCTATTTGGCTCAGTTCTGAGCTGAAATCATTTGAATTCCTACGGGCCATGAGAAAGGCTTCGGAGGAAGTAGGGAGCATGTGAACAGAGCTTTGAGGAATCATGGCGGAGTAGTTGTTAGGAAGTAGGTGGGAACAGGACCAAAGTGAGCCACAGAGAGCTGGGGTACAGTGGTGAGATCAGAGCCATGGGGTGAGGGAGAAACAAATCATGCTGACTCCTGATTCTGTCCTAGGCCTTAGGAAGAAAGTCTCAGTGAGCACAGAGATTAAAGGAGGAGAAACTGAGGCACAGGCCTCAGAGCAAAAGTTCTGTTTGTCCAGACTCCAACAGAAGCTGAGTAGTGATGGCCATGTAATGTATTTTACTTTGTTGCATTAGCTTGCATAGTAGCTCCATAAGGGAAGTAAATTACTTTCTCAAGGCCACACTGGAGACAGAGATAAATTTGGGTCCAGTGCTTATTCTAAAGCTTACATTCACCTTGCTACTAGCCCTTCATAACATGTCATTTGTGCTGCTATGGTCCCAAAGGCATTAAACTTTTGGGGGAGCCAAGCTTGGGTTTCCGATGGCTGGGAATGGATCTGATAGGCTGGAGAGGCAAGTTGCATCCAGGGGTGCTTTCCTAACTAGGAGCTATGTCACCTGAGGAGGTCTTCTGGCTGCTGACGTTATTTGTCATGAGAACAGCTGGGCTTGTAGCCAGATTTTCCTGGTTGTGTGTCTGCTACTGTAATTACTAAGCTCTTCTCAGAGAGCTAGTCCCTAGATGAACCTCTCCTGCAGCTGAGAGAGGCTTGACTCTCCCACTGCCCCTGTGAGAGAAGATACTAGACTGTGTGTGCAGTGTTGATCACTAAGGCTCGTGTGCCTCCGTGGCTTCCACCAGAGGGCAGGGACCTGCTCTACCCTGCACGGACCCAGCTGGGATACTGGATTCTCAGAGTGGCCAACTGTAGGACCCAGATGAACACGTTTACAGATGTTCAAAATCAGGCTGCTAAGACTAAGAGGGTCGTTCCAGTTTCCATTGTCTGGGGTAGTGGTCCAGGGGTCTGACCACGTCCGTGCTCTGCTTACCTTGATATGCTGATGGCCCCTTCACCTGCGGACTCAGGTTCTCTTCTTCCCCCAGTGTCTACGGAGCCAGGGAGGATCTGCATAGTGGGAAGTGTGCCTGTGAGGAGACTCACAGGCAGCTGCACATTTGCAGTGCAGTGGCAGGGAGTCAGGGACAGTGTGGGAGAAAGGGAGACAGGCTGTAATGCCCTGCTGTGTCACAGTGCATTTTCTGTGGCTCTAAAGAGGACTGAGCCGAGTAGATGGCAGCTACAGGCAGACAGGGTTCAGTTGGTAGAACTGCTTTTCTGGAAGGGCCTTCTCTATAGCAGTGTCCTGTCACTGGGTTATGCAGATTGGGACTCCAAGACCTATTGGTTCATGGATTCTTGACATGCTGGGCAGAATGTCCTTGGAATAAGGCGATGTGAATGTGGCACTGCAGAGGAGACAGAACAGGAAGAGGTCACACACTAGGAAAGGAGATGCACTTGAATAAGCCCTGAAGACCATTCTGGGTATGGGAGACAAGCTCAGCCTCTCTAGGACCAGCTTCCTCTTCCTGTGGTGGGGTGGATTGAACCTCCAGCCTCATGCATGTGGGGCAAACACCCTACCACTGAGCCATACTCAACTATGTCACCAACCCTCTTTTTACTTCTTGTTTTAAGGCAAGGTCTTACTATTAATAAATTCCCGGACTAGCATTGGATTCATTTTGTAGCCCAGGCTGGCTTTGAACTTGCACCAGCCACTCAGGTAGATGGGATAACTGCCTGTGTCACTAAAGTCAATTGTGTGTGTGTGTGTGTGTACACAACCAGGGCCTTGTGCTTGCTGGGCAGGTGCACTACCACTGCTCTATCCCCAGTCCTTGAACAAGCTTCTCTAGAGATTTTCCTTCCCACATCTGATCTGCTGGTTTCCTCACTCTCCTGTGTTGACTTAGACTCTTTTTTCTTCTTGTCCCAAGAGCCAAGGATCCAGGGCCCATCCACCCCTCTGCCCAGCTGACACCAGTTTCCCGAGTTTGGTGGTGGTGTTTTCTCCCTAGCACCTTTCTCGGTTTTCCTCTCTCAGATGAATATTGCTGCGGGGGGACCAGGGGATTAGATGAAGGCACCTCTTAGAAGACGCTCGTAGCTAGCGTGTTTGGGGAGTGCTTGCTCCTCTGGCTTTTCTCTTGTTGGTGCCAGGGCAGAAAGGACGGGGCAGTGGTAAATCTTCTGTTCTGCCTGGCAGTGTGGGCACCTGGTACATTGGTGCTAATTCTCTCAGTGCCTGGCAGTGTGGGCACCTGGTGTACTGGTGTTAATTCTTTCAGTGCCTGGCAGTGTGGGCACCTGGTGCATTGGTGTTAATTCTCTCAGTGCCTGGCAGTGTGGGCACCTGGTGCATTGGTGATAGGAATTACTGTCCCTACCCTGTTAGCCAAGAACCCGCATCTCAGAGACTTAAGGGACTTCTGCAAAGTTCCATGAGTGTAACTGACTTCAGCCCTGAGTTTGTCGTCTTTGGGCTGTGCTTCCATCATGAAATTTTGCTTCCCAGAACTGTACTGCATTGATTGGCTTCCAAGAGTGGGCTGTGGTGGGGTCGCCATTGTCCATAGCATTTAAAAGCATCGTTCCTTCAGAAAGAGTCTAATAGTGTTGCCCAGTCTGTTCTCAGATACCAGTGATGCTCCTGGATGTGTGCCTGTGCTCCTGTTATTTGTAGACAGCTGTGAAACACATTCACACAAGGTTGAGCGGGGTCTCTTCAGCTGCTCAGACAATGTCTTTGTAGATACAGAAGGTTGCCTTCAACCCCAGGAAGTCCCTTGTCTCTGGGGAGGAGTGTAGCACTGTGGGCTCTCTCTGGCAGTTTGAGCCTGAGATCAGGGCTTGTCTGTTTCCAGAGTCAGCTTCTGGGGCAGAGTTTTTTAGGTTGTTATCTGGGGCATCAGCTATTTCTAGAATACCTAGGAACTTGATTTTTAGAAATATAGATCTGAACCAGGTATGATGATACATACCTGTGGTTCTTGCTTCTTGGGGGACTGAGACAGGAGGATCATTTGAGCCTGTAAATTACAAGCCAGCCCACAGAACATAATGACTTCCTCCCTTTAAAAAAAAAACTCAAGGTGGTAGTGGTGCATACCTTTAATTCCAGCACTTGGGAAGCAGAGGCAGGTGGATCTCTGAGTTTGAGGCCAGCCTGATCTAGAGTGAGTTCCAGGATAGGTAGGACTACACAGAGAAACTCTTATCTTGAAAAACAAAATAAAACAACACCAAAAATTTTTAGGCTGGGCATGGTGGCTCATGCCTTGGATCCCAAGACTGAGAGGCAGAGGTGGGTGGATCTCTGTGAGCTTGAGGCCAACCTGGTTTTACATAGGGAGTTCCAGGACAGCCACCAAAGCTTCCCATAGAGACTTTGGGAACAAGTCAACAAACTTCAGAGTCTGGCATGAGCCATGCCTATAGTTTCAGCACTAGGTAGGACAGAGGCAGAAGGATTGCTTCAAGTTCAAAGCCAACCTGGGCAACATAGTTCCAGGCCAACCAAGGATACATAGACCCTGACTGAAAAATAAATAGATAAATAAAAATAAAAACAGGGGTTGGAGGTAAAGCAGGTAAAGGTGCTTGCTGCTAAGCCCCATAACCTGAATTTGATCTCCAGGACCCATGTAGTGGAAGGAGAGAACTGACTCCAAGCTGACCTCTCTCTGACCTACACACACACACACACACACACACACACACACACACACACACACACACACACACACACACACACAAACACTATAGGATGCACACACAGATAAGTAAGCAAATATGTTTTGTTTTGTTTTTAAGGCAAATCTGGAGGTCTCTACTGAGTTAGCACTCTTGATCTCAAGCTCTTGTGCACACTAAATGTTGAGGTCTGCCGTTCAGGGACAGAGATTACTCTCCCAGGCTGTGAGCTAAGCAAACCCCTGGGGAACTTTGAAAATGCACATCAATGCTTGAGTGACATGCTGAGAGACTCTGACTTAATTGATAATATTCAAGCATTACTCTTTAAAAACCAGACCAAACAAACAATTTCTTAATGTTTTTAAAGTGCAGCCAGGGTTGAGAAAGATTGCCTCAAAGTGATTTGTTTGTATTTTTTTGTTTTTGTTTTGAGACAAGGTCTCGTCTATCCCAGGTTGTTCTTGGATGCCCAGTGACCTTGGACTTGTATCTTCCTGCCTCTGTTCTTGAGTCTGGGATTATAGGTGCATGTATGTCTGGTTTATGTGGTACTAGATGGAGCCCAGGGCTTTGTGAAGGCTAGACAAGCACTGTACGAACTGAGCTACACCTCCCTCAGAAGTGGTGGTTCTCAAAGTGTGGTCTCCGACCAGCTACAGCAGCAACACCTGAGAATCTGTTAGGAATGGAAAATCTTGAGTCCTACTCCAGGCCTGCCTCTGGTGTGAAGCCTGAGCCTTCCAGGTGATTCTGCACACTGAAGTTGGAGAGCCAGCATAGGAATCCTGATGTCAGAATAGGGTGTAACTTGGGATAAAACAGTTGTCTAGTATACATGAGGCACTGGTTCAATTTCCAACCCTCTAATAAAAGATGAAACTTCTGTTGGCCTGGGATCTACCCACCCGGAGGGTGGGGACAGTGTTTTCTTTCTTTCTCTGCATTCCTTCCATCTGTCTATGTGCATATGGTAAGGCTGGAGGGGTGTGTGTGTGTGTGTGTGTGTGTGTGTGTGTGTGTGTGTGTGTGTGTGTGTATTAAGGCATGCGTGTGGAGGTCAGAGGACAACCTGCAGGAGCTGATTCTCTCCTTCCACCATGTGGATCCCGGGATTGAGCTCAGGTCCTCAGGTTCGGGGGCAGCATTGCCTACTGAGCTATCTCAAAGGCCTGGGAGACTATTTCCAGCTCCAGTTATAAGCCTTTGGGACCATTGGTTAGACATGGACGTTTAGCTGCACTGCACATGTGGAGGTGAAATTCAAGGACTTTTTGTGTAAAATAATTGTTAGAAATGAGATGAGGGCATGGATCCTCTCTAAGCCAAGCTTCCAGATGTCACAGAACGTGGTGAGGGAGACAGGAAGAAGTGTCAGGCTTTCCCTTGCCTTCTGCAGAAGAACTAGAAAGGAAGTGAGCCAGGAAGTGACCCTTGTGCATGGTCAATCTACACAGGCCCCTGCCCCGCAAAGTAAGCAAAGCTGATTAGGCCTGTTCTTCAGAGTTAGGCGACTGGGACCAGCCGGGAGTTCCCACACCAAGGCTGTCTTAACTGTCTGCACACCTCGCTTCCGAGGTTCCCCTTCGCCAACCCCCAGACTGTGGCTGCTTCAAGTGTCGTTGGATGTCTCACCTGTTACGTTTTGTTGTATTTGCCTTTCTGTTCGGAACAGATTAAAAATAATGAACCTTTGATCAACGTGCTTTACAAAGTGCTGAAGAAGTCAGCACGGGGCTGTCGGCCCGGGAGAAGCGTAAGATGATCGGATCCGTGTCTCCAGGCGGGGCCATTCCATTGCTTCTGGCTCAGGGCCGGCATCATCACTTGCTTAAGCAGTTGCTCTCCTGACGCCCCACGCTTCCTGCAAGTCATTTCAGTTGATTTTCTTTAACCCAAAGCTCTCTTCAGCATTGTGGCCAATACATTGGGCTGAGCTGCTCATCTGTGGTGTCCTGTGGCTCCATCTTTTGTGTTGCAGAGGGATGGGGAGCTTGCCTGGCTGCCATCAGCTTGTGTGTGTCTCCATCCTCACTTGTCTGCCTCCACATAGATAGAGCTGAGCATGAGTTTCTTGGGAGGGAGCAGCAGTTCCTAACCACTTTAGAGAAGCCTTAGATGCCACACTGTCTCTGCCTTCTCTGGGGCAGGGTGTTGACAGGCAGGTCCTCTCTGGAACTGGATGGCCACCCTTTGGATGGTCTCTTTTGCAATGTAGCCAGCTCTTGGGACATTCTGAGGGAGGCTACAGATGCGGGGGGTTGGGAGGTGCAGATGTCATGTCCTAACGTGGTAGAGGAGAAGTGAGATGGCCCATGGGCCCTGAGTCTCTTGTACAGATTCTTTAAGATGAGTGAGGACCCAAGACCTTTGATTTTTCTGGTGACAGATAGCGGGGACACTTGTTGACATTTTAAGTGGATATAAATACTGTAATCACAGAGCACAATTTAAAGAGGGAAACTTAACTGCCACATACTACTTGTGGCTATAACTCTTCATTAGAGCATCCTTTCTCTGGAACAGAGCTAAGCTGAAGGACCTCTGAGCTGTATAAGAGCTTTCAGGAAGCTGGTGTCCTATGGCCTGTGACCTTTACTTCATTGGAAGCCAAACCAGCCAGTCTGATTTTAACATGTTCATGAACTCACTCAGCAAACCTTCTCCATATCTCTTCAATATGCCAGGTCCTAGCTGGGCTTCAAGGCTAGAAAATACATCACTGTCTCACAGTGACCCCTAATGTGGTTAATGTATCTGGAGAGAACTGGGCAAACCTCATTATAATCCGATATTCTGAGCACCACAGATGTGACAGGCACCCTGTGAGAGGGACAACTTGTAGGGCACCAGACCCACTCAAAGGGAAGAAAGAAAGGCAAGCACTTTGAATTCCTAGCTCCCAACATCCTATAAACAGCATTTTAAAGAGGACAAGAGAGGCCTATTTCTTAGAAAAGAGGGAATGTGACGAGAAAGAGAGAGAGAGTTGGATTCAGAGTCGCTGAGGACAGCAGTGAAGGGCACATTCCGGGGGATGCCACCAGAAAGCTTAATTTAGATTTCACTTTCTCAGAATGCCTTTGTGTGTAGACACCTCATTTCTTTCCTGATGGTGCTGGATAAATGAGGCGTTGCTCAGTTAGATCCTCTGCCTTATTTAAGCATCAGAGACTTCCTCAATAAAAAGCTTCAGGGGAAAAGGGGGAAGAGTTTGCTGGGGGAGATCCCCAGAGTACACCTCAATTTGAAAGTGATTTCTAGCTGGTTAACGAGCCCAGGCCAGCTTCTTCAGAGAAGCTACCCACTCATGCCCTCCCCTTGGGAGGGATCATTGCAGGGTTCCATATGTTCAAACTGTGTGTACATACAAGTATATACACATACTCTGACACAGACCCCATGAATGCTTGCTGAGTGCCTTCCCTTATGCCAGGCCTTATACTCAGGCTTTACCACAAAATAAATAAGGCCAGGGTCCCTGCCTCTTTCTGTATGGCCAAATGGAATCAATCCTCAGCTCAAAGCAAGAAGTCATTTCATGGGGTAGTGAGATGGCCCAGCAGTTAAAAACACTGACTACTCTTCCAGAAGGCACGTCTTCATTCCCAGCACCCACGTGGCAACTCACAACTATCTGTAACTCCAATTACAGGAGATCCAACACCGTCTCTGGCCTCCATGAGTACACAGACTCATGCATATGATACACAGACATACATGCAGGCAAAACACCCATACATGTAAAATAAATAATATTTTTTAAAGAAGTCATTTGATACTGGCTTGGACTTGCTGAGGTAGAGTGTAGGTCAGTTGGGCACGTGGATGTGGTTAATCTGAAGGGAATGATTGACAATGAATTTTGACTCCTGGTTTACTCTAGCAAACTTCTTGAACCTTCCAAATGGAGTGGGGAGAAAACACAGGCTATCTTTCCAGCAACTGTCTGTCTATCCATCCTAGGGCCTTCTGCCTAACACATACACATTACCTGCCTCTGCTATGATTACCCTGTTCTCCATGTCCACTGGTCAGAGCTTCAAAACAGAACAGAGATGGGCTCACAATTTAAGATGCATTAAAGCTGACCTTGTCTTGGCCATGGGAGCCCACCCACATCTACACAGCCTGTGATAGAAGGTGCCTCGGGGAAGTGGAAGCATGGGATAGAGAGTTGGAATCAGCTGCTTGGGTGTCAATGGGAGCAGGAAGGCAGCAAGCTGCCTGTTTACAGTTGACTGAGGATGTGAAATGGGATGCTCCACTGGCCTGGAAGCATGGGAGACTTGTTCATTGTTTTGTTGAGATGGGAAGACAGGTGATAAGTCACATGAGTACAACCAAGCCTTGTTGTCTGGGTGTGACTCTAAAAACACTAGCTGGACCTGACCTGGGTTCCTTCTCCCTCTGGCTGGATCTTTTAACAGCGTAGGGTGAGGAAGACTGGCCTTGTCCATGGGGAAGGGAGCTTCTCAGAGACCTGAAACCGGCTGGGCGTGGGGTGTAGACCTGTGTTTACCCCTAGGTGCTGTAGCAGGCCTCTCTTATCCTTGACAAATCTCCAAAGACCCACAGAAATATGTCATGCTTGGGCAAACACCTTTAAAATTGATAACCCTGTAACTTGAGTACCTGCGTTTTCTTTAATTTGAGAAATTTGATAGTATTAGGATCACCAAAAGGTTTTGGTTTTTCCATAAAATTAAGTAGGCATTAAAACAATGTAGATAGTCCTCAAGTTTTTGCCCATTTTGTGCCATGAGCCTTCTGCCTCCGCTGAGACTTCCACCTCCATCCACCATAGGACTAACCTTCCTTCCTGAGTTTTGGCTCCACACACCAAGTTAATCATTAAATTGTTCACCTCCCAGATGACAGGCCGAGATCTTCTTAAGGATCGAAGTCTGAAGCCGATGAAGATCGCTGAGAGTGACATTGATGTGAGTTACCAGTGACAGGCTGGCTCCTCGGCCACCTCCTGACTGGACCTGGGCAGCTTCCCGAAGGGTTTGGTTGGTGCTCTGGCCAGAGACTTTCTGCTCTTGTTCCTGAGGCCATGCCCTGTTCTCACCCCCCACCCCCACCCCACCCTCTCCAACTCGTTCTTGCTTATAGGTCAAGCTGAGTGTGTTCTGTGAACAAGACAGGATCCTCCAGGACTTGGAAGACAAGATCCGAGCTCTCAAGGAGAATAAAGTATGCATTGCCTTTGCATCACAGTGGGGTGGGTGGAGGGACGTGCATCACTCCCGTCTGCTGAAACCACGTCTGCACTCTCGTGTTAGTATTCATCAACAGGAGGGGCCGGGGGATAGCTCAGTATAGAGTGCTTCCATCCTCAGCCTCACATATAAACCAGGTATGGTCAGCACACACCTGTGACTCTAGCGCTTGGAAGGTAGACTCCAGGGGGAATCGGAATTTTAAGGTCATCCTCAGCTACACAGTGCTCGGTCCTCTTTAAAAACCACAAAAAAAGCCGGGCGGTGGTGGCGCACGCCTTTAATCCCAGCACTCGGGAGGCAGAGCCAGGCGGATCTCTGTGAGTTCGAGGCCAGCCTGGTCTCCAAAGCGAGTTCCAGGAAAGGCGCAAAGCTACACAGAGAAACCCTGTCTCGAAAAACAAAACAAAACAAAAAAACAAAAAAAAAACAAAAAAAACAAAAAAAACCCACAAAAAAATACATAAACAAGTGTTAGTTTATTCAGTCTCTTTTGTCTAAGGGTGTTCCTCAAAGACTCGTATCTGAGCCTCCCCTCCTTTCAGGGAGAACCCCAGTCTGCGTGGCTCAAGCCCCCCTCATTCTGTTCGGGCCCGTGTCTGGAGGTCTGACGGCTTGACATGTGAAACCCAAAGGGCTGCCTTGGAGAGAGTGGCCTTTGTCACAATGACAAAGCCTTTCACTTCCTCAGGTTCCTTTCCCCTGGGAGCTGGGCTGGGAAGGCAGCATGTCTAGATGGGAAGACAAGAGTGAGCTGAGGCCGCAGTAGTAATCTCAGAGCGACTTTTTTCCTTTTTTGTGGTGTTGAAGATCTGTGGCATGCCTTCTTTCCACAAGAGCCTACTGAGTTCTTCCGCCGTTTCTTTCATTTGTTTCCACATACTCCACAAGGAGTCAGAAGGTTCTGCACCCACCTTGTAGATGAGAAAACAGGCATGGAGAGTTTTGGAGACTTGCCTCCTGGGCCAGTCTGAGCTGCTGCTGTCTGAAGCCCTGTGTCTTTGCTCCAGCTCAGACTGGCCTCTTTGGCCTCAGTTGTTAGGTTCCTCTGGGGCCAGCCCTCCCATCCTGTCGCTCTTGGCCCTCTCTGGCACAGGACCAGCTAGAATCCGTGCTGGAGGTGCTGCACAGGCAGACACAGCAATACCGAGACCAGCCACAGCACCTGGACAAGATCACCTGCCAGCAGAGGCTCCTGCAGGAGGACCTGGTCCACATCCGGGCGGAGCTCTGCAGAGAGTCCACGGTGTGTAGAGGGTGAAGAGGTGGCAGGCACTTTCCCTGGGGGCTGGCCATGGCTGTGTTCCCATCAGCCCTGCTGTTGAGTTGGAGGCCAGGGGTGAGAACTTGTCGCTGCCTCCTGGTGGCAGGTTATCCGGGGTAACATGGCTGACTCTCCTCACCTTAGGCTTCTTTCCATCAGGATAGTTGAGGGAGACCCAGTTTTGTGGAGAAGTCTTCAGACTGTATTCTAGTCCGTGTGCTCTAAGATGTCAGAATTTCCACCATTGCAGCTGTCAGTCCAGTGTGGTCCTGACATTCCCACCAGGCAGGGGGGAGCCATCTTGAGGTGGGGAGTGGGCAGCACATAGCCAGGGTCACATGCTCTCATCTCCTTTCCACCAGGCTGCCTAAGCCTCCCCTTCTGGTTCACCTAGCGGGCAGCAGGTTAGGGGTGGGTGTTCTGGAGGGGACTGGGCTGGGGGTGGGAGGGAGCAGCATGAGGGGACATCTGGGGACCAGAAGTGTTTCCTTGGCCAATAGGAGATGGAAAATGCCTGGAATGAGTACCTGAAGTTGGAGAGGGACGTGGAACAGCTGAAGCAGACCCTGCAGGAGCAACACAGAAGAGCCTTTTTCTTCCAGGTGACCAAGAGAGGGTTGTCACCTCCCTTGACTCCCTAGCCTCCCGTTAGGTCTGTGAGCTGTGCCAAGCAGCTACGCCAAGCTCTCTCTCGGGGATTCCTTCCGCCGTGGTGAGAAGCCTCACCTCAGTTCTCCGCTTCTTTGCTCTCAATGCCTAGCCCTCAGTGTTTGGGAAGAGCTGGTCTGTTAAAAGATCAGAGCCAAGAGGAACCCAGTTCAGTACCCGTACCCACCTGGAGGGCACTTTGGAGGGCCAGGGCGAGTTTCTCCTAGGTTCCCTGGACAATAGTAGGAAGTCCAGTCTCTGTCTTGCTTCTGGCAGTCACTCCTTGGCCTGAGGAGAGAGTGTGAATTCGGCCCCTGGAGGCTCCTCTTCTCTTGTTTATGCTCATTTGCCTTTCTGGAGGCCAGGCTGGGTGATCCCCATCTCTGTGACCCCTGGCCAATGTGGAAAAGGTGGTTTTAGCTCAAAAGTCAGGCCATTCTAGCTGGCCTGTATTCTCCTGTTGTGGTAAGCATCAGGCTTCTATCCCACCCTCAAAATTTTAAAAATGAAAAGTGGCCTGTTTTCCAGCTCGGCTTCAGGTCTGTCTCTTTCTTGGGGCTCTGACATCGATTCAATGTATCTGAATCAGCTTCTTGTGCATAAGGCAGCATGCTATACCACTTTGGGAGCTGGGCTTGCTCAATGATGATGGAGTTCATTGTGCTAACCCTAGGAAACCAAGGAACTTCTTTGGGGACGCCCCCCCTCCCACAGGCCTAATGTTCTCCACTCACTCAGATGGTTCTGGGGATCCCCCTGCCCCACGGGCCTAATGTCCTCCACTCAGGTGATTCTGGGAGACCAGCCCAGGACACTGGAGACTCTTGCCTCTGGTTCAGGGGTGACCTTAGAGCATCCCCAGAATATTCCTTTCTCCTACTGTTATTTCCCCCTACAATTCCCCCTTCACTGGAGACATTCCGCAGTATGTAGTATAACAGCTTGAATGTACAAAGTGGCTGCTATTGATAAAATCTTCCCAACATTGTTTCTAGTTGTTGCTGAGGTATATCTGTTGCCCATGGCTTTTGAGACAGGTCTCACTATATAACCCAGACTGGCCTTGAACTTGAAATGCTAATCTTAACTCTTTTTTTTTCTTTTTTTGAGCTAGAGTTTCATCATATAGCCCAGGCTGGCCTACAACTATGTAGACCAGGACTGCCTCTGCCTCCCGAGTGCTGGCAGTAAGGGTGTGCGCCATCACACCAGGCATCCCAACTGTTTTTAAGAGTTCTCTTGAGCAGTGTTAGGTCCATTCACATGTTGTGCAGCCATATTCCAGAATTTTCCACCTTGTGAAACTGAAAATCTGTTGTCTTCCCCTCCCGCCCTGGTCCTGGCTTCCCCTGTTCCCTTCCCTGTGTCTGTGAGATTGACTAGGTGTTGTATACATCATTTGAGTCCTGTGCTATTTAAGGCAGTCTATCTTAAGTGAGGTAAAGCAGGCTAGTTGAGCTGGTAAACACTGCCCCCAGCCTTCCTCACTGGTCCTGCTTCTCAAGGGGACTTTGAGTAGGCTTGGAGCTTGCCCTGGCAGGTTTTCAAAGGTGTTCACCACCCCTATGATGAGGGACTCTGACTGAAGAGGTATCACAAATCCTCAGAAGAAAGTTCTAGTGAGGAGCCAAGAAGATCCTGAACCAGCCCCCTGTCTTCCCCAGGAGAAGTCACAGATACAGAAGGACCTGTGGAGAATTGAAGATGTCATGGCAGGCTTGAGTGCGAATAAAGAGAACTACAGAGTCCTGGTGGGGTCTGTCAAAAATCCAGGTAAGAGAACAACCATCTTCCTGAATGTAGGAACAGGGTGGGGCGGGTGGGCTGGCTCTCAGAGGGGCTGGGTCTCCGTGGTAGTGACCTCACCTGTGCCCCGAAACAGGGTCTTGACTCCACCCTGGTGTTGTTTCTGTCCAGAAAGAAAAACGGTGCCTTTGTTCCCTCACCCGCCTGTGCCTTCACTCTCACCAACTGAGAGCAAGCCGGCCCTGCAGCCTAGTCCTCCCACCAGCCCTGTGCGGACACCTCTGGAGGTCCGACTCTTTCCACAGCTGCAGACCTACGTGCCATACCGACCTCACCCACCCCAGCTGAGGAAAGTGATGTCCCCCCTTCAGTCACCAACCAAGGCAAAGCCTCAGGTGGTAAGCTGTGGTAGCTGGGAGCTGAAGGCATGCTGTGTGACTTCCTGCAGAGAGATGAGCAAAAGTCTGTTCACCTCACATGAGGTACAGACAACAGACCAAAGAAATGACTCCACCCAAGTACCTGGTGACCAATGAGTTTATTGGGCTTCCTTAAGCAGGGGTGAGGTGTGACTTAGAGCGACATGAGTGGCGCCCCAGGACCTGCAGAGTGGCAGGTGCACCCCAGCCTGGTAATGACCCACAGAAGCTGCACTGGCAGAATCACTGTGTGTAATCCATCCTGAGATCTCCTTCCCCAACTCCGATGTGAGGTACAGACTAGGGCACGGCCTGCTGGGCAGGAGACTGCTGATGACTGCGAGGTGCCTGGCAGCCGGGGTTGGGCACAGAAGTGAAGGCACTAGCCTGTCCAAATGTTTCTTTTGTGTGGTTGTTTGCTTGTTTTAGACATTTATATTTGTGTAACAGAAGTATCTATCCTGGGGCTAGAAAAATGGCTCAGCAGTTAAGAGCACCCATATGGCAGCTAATACTAACTGTAACCCCATTCCAGGGGATCCGATGCTCTCTTCTGGCCTCCGTGGGCACCACGCACTTGTGCATAGACGTTCATGCAGACAAAATACCTATACATATAAAATAAAAATAAACAAAAAAATTTTAAAGAAGGATCTAGGAGCTGGAGAAAGAGCTCAATGATTGGGAACACTTGCTGCTCTTCCAGAGGATCGAGGTTTTTCCCAGCACCAGCGTCAGGTGATTAACAACCACCTTTACCTCCAGCTCCAGGAGATCCGAACCCTCTGGCTTCCAAGGCCATTTGCACCTATTTACACATACTCACATGCCGATACATGCACCCACATATAATGGAAGATTTTTATTTAAAATATCCATTTTGAAAATGACATTAAAATGTGTTGGTGAGCTGGGTGGTGGTGGTGCACGCCTTTAATCCCAGCACTTGGGAGGCAGAGGCAGGCAGATCTCTGTGAGTTTGAGGCCAGCCAGGACTACACAGAGAAACCCTGTCTCGAAAAACAAAACAAAAAATGTGTCAGTGAGGGGCTGGAGAGATGGCTCAGAGGTTAAGAGCACTGACTGCTCTTCCAGAGGTCCTGAGTTCAATTCCCAGCAACCACATGGTGGCTCACAACCATCTGTAACGAGATCTGGTGCCCTCTTCTGGCCTGCAGGCACACATGCTGTATACATAATAAATAAATCTTAAAAAAAAAAAAAAAAAAAAAAAAAAATGTGTCAGTGAACAATAATCAGGGCACATCCTTGATGTGCCACCACTCAGGCCAATGAGCAGAGCGTGGCAACCACGGAAGGCCTCCAACCTCACACCCCCTCCCTTACCCCTGTGGTCTTGGCTTCCATATAATTCCCTCATCCTTTTCTTCCCTTGACTCCCTGTTTGCATCCCTAAGCACTTGGATTCTGCCAGGATAGAACCACAGCTCTTCTGTGTGTCCCACACTGTGCACTTCGTCTTGTTTTCTACAGGGACCCCACACAGCTGCTTGGCTTATTTCTTTAATTTACTATCATTTAAAAACTAGCAATGGTTCTGGCATGGCGGCACATAACCTTTAATGCTGGCAGAGGCATGTGCTCGAAATAAATAAATAAATAAAAACTAGGATTGGGTAATCTCAAAGAACACAAAAACAAGAGCCACAAAGTAAGTGTCTAAGAAAATGTCCCCTCCCACCCTGTCTCTCGCCACTTCTTCTGTCACAGAGAGTGGGTATTTTGGTTTATCTTTTGGGAGAGCTTTCTAAACAAGACACTGGTAATTCTGATGTCTTGTCAGGGTTGGGAACTGCTGATTCTAGGAAGCCTAGGCCTGACTTAGGCAGGTGGCTTGGCTTTTTTTTCAACAACAGTGAAGTATGTTGCTTTCAAAGACTGCCAATAGGGGCTCAGTGGGTAAAGGTGCTCACTGCCAAGCCTGATATGAGTTACATCCCCCAGGACTCACATGGTAGAAGGAGAGAATCAGTTCCCATATGTTGCCTCTGACCTACATTTGCACACCAAGGCATGTATGTGCCCACACACATGTATACACAGACACACGCATTCAAACACACTAAATAAAATGTGACAAAATTTTTTTTCAAAGAATGCTGGTGACTGTTTGCAAACCCAGCTTGGACTCTTTCCTAAATTCTGTGAAATCCTGAAATATAAGGTCAAACTGGAGAAATGGAGGGAGAGTCAAAGAGGAAGGCGGGCGGTGGTGGCGCACGCCTTTAATCTCAGCACTCAGGAGGCAGAGCCAGGCGGATCTCTGAGTTTGAGGCCAGCCTGGTCTACAGAGTGAATTCCAGGACAGCCAAGGCTACATGGATCCTATCTCTAAAAACCAAAAGGGAGGGAAAAAAAGAGGAAGGAGGAGGTTGTCATCTGAATGAGTTTTCCTGGGATGAAAACTTCATAGCATGAAGGAGCCACAGCCCCTAAGAACCAGCCAAGCACATTGAGTACCAAGGAGACTGGTCTGGTTCTCTGCCTCCCAGGAGTGAGCGGCACTGCAGCCACCTCTCCTCCCTCCTGTCAGAGCTGGGAAGAAGGAGAGACTCTGTAAGAATGTTCATTTCCAAGAGAAAGAGCAGGAGGGTGCAGACAGGTGAGCAGATCCCCACACAGAGGACCCAGGTCCATGAGCCGAGCCACAGAGTCTGCTCAGGCTGAACACAGTGTGGCTGGTAGATGTCTGTTCCCAGGGTGGGTGCTATCATCGTCTCAGAAGAGACAGCCAGGCTCCTACCTCCCCTGTGGTACATGCCGAGGAAGCAGGTGTCATTTAACACTGCCAAGAATGTAGATCCAGGACACCAAGTGCTGGAGCTGGGGACACACTGTCCCCGGTAACACTTCGAAACTGGAAGGCATATTGGATCAAAAAGAAGAATTGGAATGGAGGTGGCCCCTCACAGCTTCCTTGGCTGGGGTGGTTCTGTGCCCTGAAGTGGTCGGCCATGTGGCAGTCCTGACCCTCCTCCCCACTTCAATTCCATCCCGCTGGACACAGGGTCTGGTTCTCTCTCTGAACAGGAAGACGAGGCACCTCCCAGGCCACCACTTCCTGAACTCTACAGCCCAGAGGACCAGCCTCCAGCTGTGCCACCTCTGCCGAGAGAAGCCACCGTCATACGGCACACATCTGTGCGGGGCCTCAAGCGACAGTCGGATGAAAGGAAGAGGGACCGGGAACAGGGCCAGTGTGTGAACGGCGACTCAAAGGTGAGCCGAAAGACTGAGCATGCCCACTGAGTGTGGGAAGGATGGTGTGGCATGAGTGACTTCATAGCCTCAGACTCTGTCCACAGGTGGAGCTCCGGTCCTATGTGAGTGAGCCAGAGCTGGCCAGCCTCAGTGGGGATGTGCCTCAGCCCTCCCTGGGCCTCGTGGGCTCTGAGAGCAGGTACCAGACACTGCCAGGCAGAGGTAAGGCAAGACCCTCTGTGGAGTCCTTCAGGGTTCCCACATTCCACTACAGCACTCACAGCCTCCACCTGGGCCTCAGATCCTGGTCTGCAGCTGGGTCTAGCTGTGACTGCTGAGAGAGAGGACTGGTCCGACTTCCTCCCACCCACAGCCTAATTCCCTCCCTCTTTTCTCTTCGAGTAGTCTGTTTTTCCTCTCTTTTCTGTCTCCAGGAGCAAACAGTGATTGCCCTAAAGTCTGACACTGTTGAAGTGTTTTATATGAGCCTTATATTCAACAGTGCTGGTAGGCAGGTGCTGTTATGACTCCCATTTTAGAGATCAAGAAACTGAGTCAGGCTAGAGAGACGGCATAGTGGTTAAGAGTGCTGATTACTTTTCCAGAGGACTCCAGTTCAATTCCCAGTATCCACGTGGTGGTTCACAACTGTCCATAACTCATGCATGTGGCATGCAGATATATATGCAGGCAAAACACCAATAAACATAAAATAAATAAAAAGGAAAGAAACAGGGTGAGAAGAATTAAACAAATGCCAGTTAGCTGATCACAGAGCAAGCCAACAATCCCAGAGCTCTGGCTGCCGATCACTGCGGCCTGCAGGCTGGGGTGCTAGGAGCCGCCAGCACTGAGGAGGCCACATCGGATCTGTGTCAGCCTGAGACGGGAGTCCTTTCTTAAGCCCATGGTCTCCTTCCCTGCGCTCCTTGCTTATCCCTAGCTGGATTCCCTATGAGGCAGAGGGATGAAGGCTCTGTATCCCTTTCCACCTGCCCCTGCCCAGCACTTCTGCTTGGAAGCAGAGCTTCACACAGCTCTGCAGGGACAAAGACGCCCCCCCCCCCCCCCAGACCAACCTTTCTCTCTTCCTGGGGCCTGCCTTATCTAGGCTCAAGGAGAAAAGAGCAAGACAAGTAGGTTGTTAGTGGAGCCCTGCTGGCCCCTTGAGAGAGAGTGGGGGTGGTTAGGGGGGGCTTGGGGAGTGTCCAGTCACACCACAGAACACCTGGTTCTTCCTTCCTTGCTAAGGGCTCTCGGGCTCCACGTCCAGGCTCCAGCAATCGTCCACCATTGCTCCCTATGTCACACTCCGGAGGGGTCCGAATGCCGAAAACAGCAGTGTGACCTTCTCTGTAAGTGGTCTTGGGATGTGGAGGGACTCACACTCAGTAGGAGGGGCCCAGGGATGGGCAGTGACCAGTGAGCCTTAGGGAATTTAGGGTCCTGTCACCCCCTGCTCACCAAGAAGGGCATCTCTATTTTCTGATGACTACCAAACCTGTCAGGGTCGTGAGAAGTCCAAGAAGCTTGTACCCTAGGTATGCCCTGGATTGTTGGCTCGGCTGGATAGGCCCAGCTTCAGTGTCTGCCTCTGCCCAGGAAACCCATTAGGGAGAGGGGCACTGGGTACTGAGAGGAAATGATTTTCTGTGGCCAAAATGAGCCCATATAGCATGTTATAAAGAGACTAAGCAGGGAGAGGGCATTGGGGAGTTCACTTGGTAGGGGTCTTGCCTAGTATGTACAAGGTCCTGGGTTTGACCAATCCCCAGCACGCATAAATCAGGTTTGATTGCCAACATCTATAATCCCAGCACTTGTGAGGTACAGGTGGGAGGATCAGGAGTTTAGATTATCCTCAGCTCCATAGTGAATTTAAGGCCAGCCTGGGCTACCTGAGACCCTGTGCTAAAGCAGGAAGCAGCCGTGCTTCTAGCCCCATCCACTCTGTATCTCGCCTCCTCCTCAGAGACCCAAGAGTGCCTTGGAACGCCTGTATTCAGGGGACCACCAGCGGGGCAAGATGAGTGCGGAGGAACAGCTGGAGCGGATGAAGCGACACCAGAAGGCCCTGGTTCGGGAGCGCAAGAGGAATCTGAGCCAAGGAGAGAGAACGGGCCTGCTCTCAGCCCGATATCTCAGCCAGCCACTGCCTGGAGATCTTGGCTCAGTATGTTAGATGGGGCTGGGACAGAGGCCGGAGTTTCCCCCAAGTCCCCCAAGCGTACACATGTCACCTCCCAGGGTGACCTACATGGTTGAGAGAACATCCTGAGGGGCTGTTTGTCCACAACCCCAGCTGCACGTGTGAGCTGGCCAGAGGATGACCCGGAAACAGTAATAGGGAGGATCTAGCAGCAGAAGCCGCCCCCATTCTCCAAGCAAAGTGGGAGGGGCCTCTCAGCTGAATTAAGGATTTGAGAATGTAGGGTTGATGGAGAAGAAGATGGTGAGGAAAGAGATGATGTACAAGTCAACCACACAGCCTCCCAAACCCCCAAGGAGGAGCCAGGGGAGGCAACTGAATAAGAAAGGGTTGGTACCCCCAACCCTGAGGTGCTGGTGGTCTCCCACAGCCTGCGGTGCTGAGGCCTCAGGTACTCAGGAGGGCTGGGGAAATCGGTGCTGCCCCCTGCTGGCTGGTGCTGCACCTGCCCACGGTTGCCTTAGGCCCATTGTGGGGACATTCCATTGGGCTTTTGGGTTTGGAGCCCCTAGTTCCCCAGCCCTCTAGCCTGACTGCTCTCCCTAATTCATTGCACAAGCTCTTTCGCTTCTAGTATCGCCGCGCCGCTCATTGCCTCTAATCCCGCCTGATTGTCTTTACAGACGCGCTCGTTGGTACTGGGCCTTCTCTAACCGGCCAGTGCTGTCTCTGACCAGGCTTGTCTTAGCAGCTGTCTCCCGAGCCTAGCAGGCATCCCTAGGGGTGGCTTACCTTCCCACTGCCCGCTTTGTGTAGGCCAACTGACTGATAATGCATTCATCTCAAAAGCTGCTCTGCGAGGGCCATAATCATTAGCAGAGGTCTGGGCAATGGGAATTTATCGGATTCCATGCCTTACGCTGGACAGTAGACATCAACATTAGAGAATGCACATGTAACTTCTACAAAGTCTGAGGCCATTTGGTTTTAATTCCTCCGATCCCATCACACAGTTCCTTATGGAAAAGCTTTTGCAATTCAGATTTAGTAACTTGAATGGATAGCAAAATAAACTGTATTCAGAGGGCCTCTCTGCAGCTGTTTGTCACCAAAGGACTGGAATAATGTCTTTAAAAGCTATTAACCCATTAACTTTTAAACTTTATAAGTAAGTGTCATATGGGGTAACCCTGACTTTCTATAACATGCTGTCTGAAATGCAGAGAGTATCTCAGAACCATAACTCCAATACCTTGTAATTTTTCTTTGGAAAAAAAAAAGGCTTGTGTAAGTCTCATCAACGCCAATAAACATATTGCTTCCTATGACGGATTGGCGTGGTTCTTCCCCAGGACACTTTGCAGAGTGTGGTGAACTTTTGCTGTTTGTGGAAACAATCAGGCTGGGTTTAAATGAGGACTTGTCTCTATTTGAGCACTTGTGAGCGTGTAAGAAAATGTGTGTTTTCTTTGTGAACCATTCAATTTATCCCTGAACTTTAATTGCCCAATTCTTCCCAACTCTAATTGGAAAACCATCGGCAAACACAATTCTATTGGTTTGACGTGAACTTGAGCTTGTGCATGAACGTGTGGAGCGTGCTGATGTGGCGACAGGCTTACGGTTGGGGTGTGAAGCATCTGTGGCTGCTAGGGCATTGTGAAGTGAATGGAGTGAGACAGAGGCTATGACTCGATGCCCAAGTGTGCTTTCATCCTCATAAGAACAGCGTTGTTCTCTTAAGGTCAGAGGCCTGGCATGAACTGGAAGCCATCTTGGAGCTGGGCATACGTGCTTGGGTAGATTTTTCCCCTCCTACAAAGAGACTGTTGATACAAAGTTGCCACTGTGAAATAGCCTTGGAGCAATTGCATCTGATCCCAAGTTTAGTTTCAGTTTTAGTTTGTTTTCTGGTTTAAGGAAAATGTCTTATCTCAAATGGCTACCATTTTCCACAGCTGTTTGCTCCACTGGCCACCAGCCAACTCCTTGAAACTGATTGGAACTCTCGCCCTGTTGGGGTGCAGGTTCCCCGACCCTGAATCATCCCCAGGAGCTTGAAGGCTATGAAGGACTTAATTTTTTCCCCATTGTTTGTTCTCTTGGAGTGTATGGCTCCTAAACCAGAAGGCCTTGGGGAGGGGAATTTGGATGGGGCAGGTCATCCTGGGGTCACCCTTTTATACCTGGGGACGTTTTAGATACCTGTGGACCACTGTGAGCATAAGGTCATGGGTCTTCCACCAGTACCCTAAGGATGCACATTTGAATACTCTGAGGTCTTAGATCAGAACACAGCCAGCAGTGTGGAAGAGGCCGCAGGACAGAGCAGAGGCCTTGTTTTCAGTCACACACACACACACACACACACACACACACACACACACACACACACACTCTCACAAAGCTCCAACACTTGCTTAATGTCTCAAAGGTCCATCTTCTCATGGACACCAGGCCTCAGGGCCCTGTGTGGCTCGTTGATGGGTCGGGGAGTTAGGTTAACTCTCTCCTCTGTTGCCAGTGGAAGCGAGAACAAGATTTTGACCTGCAGCTGCTGGAGCGGGCTGCTCAGGGGGACAGAAAAGATAGAGAAGACGGCTGGCTGAAAGTGCAAGCCACACCCGTCATGGAGTTGGACCTAGAGCCGCAAGACTATGACTTGGACATCAACAGAGAGGTGAGGATGGGGCTTCTTTAATGCTTCCCAGAAGCCGTGGACTTAAGGTTCCTGGGCTGACTGCAGTCTCACCCAGTAAGGGTTTAGCATCACTGCAGACCAAGAAGGTGCATACGTGAGTAGTAGCTTGAGACCATAAAGTCATCAGTGTTTCTATCGATGTTTAAGCCCATTTCTATAATTGGGAGCAAACTATGCCCGTCTTCCCTTAATGTTGATGTGGGGAGGATTAAGTGACTCAGGATGTTCCCAAGAGGTTTAGAAACTGTTCCCTGGATCATTAGTGGTGGCCTTTGCAAATGGCCTGTTAAGCAGACTGTAGTTATCATACGTGGTGTGAAATACAGGACAGGTCTGAAAAATCACAGAAGACATTTCCAGCCAGGACTGGAGCCAATTTTGATTTGAATTCTTCTGATGCCCTCTGGTGGCTCACTTGCCCCATGACAGGGCAGGCCCAGGAAAAGAACTGAGAGAGAGAAAGGAAAGGGGGCAAGTGCCTGAGTGCTAGTCAGTCTCTAGACATCCCTGTTCAAGCACCTTTGGTCTGTGGGCAGTGTCTGCAGCTGCTCTGGTTCTTTGCATCCCTAGCTCTGAGATGGCGCACAGTAGACGTGCTGCAAATGTTTGGAGATGGAAGACTGCTGCATGAATTGTCACTGTCCCCAAACCTTTATGCAGGGACTTGGCCTACTGCATTTTCCGCAGGTGTAGGATGAGTTTGGGTGGGACTCTAAGTCTTCCCAGGTCTATTTGACATGAGACAAAGGCTCAAATGCCCTCCTCAGGAGGGGTTGCCACTCTTGTAGGGTGTGTGTGTGTGTGTGTGTGTGTGTGTTAAAACTTAGATCTCACACATGCCAAGCACACAGAACTACATAACTAGCCCTCCTGTTTGGAAGAGACAGGGCAGATCCATTTGCAAGCTGGTTGTCCAATGGTTAGGGTTTCATGAGGGAGAGGGGCTCTGAGAACAAAGAACAATGTAGGTAAGTCGAGGCTTGACTTACTGCATTCTTGACGCTTGCTCCAGCAGCCAACAAGGCCTTTTCTCTGGCAGCAATCTGAGCTTTCTCCTTCACAAAGAACCTCCGTGTGCTCCCTTGGCAATGAGAGGATGCACTCTGCTGTCCTAAAAAGCCCAGCAGCCCAGGGAAAATGTCCTTCTTTATCAACAACCTAGATCCTGCTGCAGGGTGATCCACTTCCTTCCTCTAGATCTGTCCTGGGTGGAGATAACTGCTGTTTCCTACCACCTTCCAACAATGCAAGGGGCCACATGGGTTTAGTCTGTGACTGAGACTGAAATCAATCCAGGCAAGAACAAAGGAAACTACCTTGAGGCAAATTCAATTACATTTTTTAAAAGCAGGGGCTTAAATGGTCCTGAAAGTGTGATCAGAGATTTTCAGAGCTTTAGGCTGCTGGTTTAAAACAGGGACTCTGACTGGTTGGTGCTGGCAAGATAACCTTTTTTTGTTTATTTTTTTTTAATTCAAAATTTAGTGCATGTGTGTGCACACCTGCGCTTGTACACCGTCTACCCTTGAGTGTAGAGGACAGAGAATAACCTATAAAATTGGTTCTTTGCCACCATGGGGGTCCCTGAGATCAAACTTGGGTCATCAGGCTTGGCAGCAAGCATCCTTACCTGCTGAGCCATCTCTCTGGCACAAATGAAGCATCTCTGTAGGAAAGGGTGCTATGTGAGCTGAGTCTGTAGGTAGTATGAGGGGAGGGCTCTTGTCACCTGGGGACTAGAGAATCACGTCTGTCCTTGGGTGATGCCCTTGTTAAGGATGAGGTTCCACTAGAGGAAAGGACGAGAGAGCTTTTAGTAAAGGTGACAGAGATCTACCTTGCAGTGTCGGGCTGGGGGCAGGAGGTAGAGAACTAAAGAGAGGATCACCAGTCTTCCTCCACTGAGGCTTTTATTGAGATGTGTGTAAAATCTGCTCTGCCCAGAAGTGTGAAAGCTGCCTTGGTTATTAACCCTTTGCATGCTGTTATTGTTGGCTTCAACTTTTCCATCGTCTAGTCTGATCTGTATGCCCCCAGACTCAGAAGTGTGTTTCACTATGATTATGTCCTCAGTTTACTCATCAGCTTTAGGTGGTTTCTAAGCTGCCACTTGTTTGGTTTGTTTATTTGGTTGGTTGGTTGGGTTTTGTTGTTTTCTGTCTTGAGACAGGATCTTTGTAGGTAGCTCTAGCTGGCCTGGAACTCACTATGTAGACTAGAGATCCACTTGTCTCAGCCTCCCAAGTGCTGGAATTAAATACATATGCTACATCCCAGGCCTGAAGCACTTTTGTGGGACAGAGAGGACTCTCCCTTCCTCCCTCGGTCCATTGATCCATCATTCATCCATTATGGAGGATTTTCTGAAGGGCTACTCATTGCCAGGTTCCTCAATTAGATAGGGCAGAAGAAAGGCCCGTAGGTGTGAAGGACACTGGAGCTCCCACTGAGTGGGTGTGACTGGAGAGTCAGGTCACTGGGGCCGTGAGTGTAGCACCAAGGATTATGTGCTTCCTGTGACAACATCCTCTCTGTGTTGCTTGCCTTGCTGTTGCTCGTGGCCTCTAGAAAGCTGTCTAGTGTAACTGGGAGAGCATGTGCTTTATGAGACCCAGGTCCAGTTGTTGGCTCCCCACTGCCTCATTTGATGATCTTAGCAAGTTTCTTCACCTCTGTGGGCTCTGGTTGGTTCCTCACAGGGTGGGAAGGGTAGAAAAAACAGGTCTCAAATCAAAGCATCTGAGCTTACGCTACATCCTACCTCCCAATCCTCTCCCCAGCTGTCTAAACCAGAGAAGGTCTCCATCCCCGAGCGGTATGTGGATCTGGATCCTGAGGAGCCACCCAGCCTTGAAGAGCTGCAGGCACGGTACCGAAAGGCTGAGAAGATACGAAATATCCTCGCCCGGTCAAGGTCAGCCCTTGCTTGCTCAAGTCTTGAAGTCTCACAAACCCTACCTCAGCCATAGGAGACCCAGGTCAGCCTGAATGGTCAATATTTTGCTAGGCTTTATTTTAAATGAATGCCTGGGTTAGGCAGTTACTCAGGTGTGAAAGCTTGCCCCAGTCAGCTAAAAGGCTCTGGAGAACTTGTAAAGGGTCCTCAGTGATTGGCAAGTGTGGGCCCCCAAGCTAGATGTTAGTGAAGAAGACTCAGTTGAAGTCACCTCCAATGATGATCCTCTTAACATTTGTGCTCATACTCCATTATAGATCCATAGATGAGCCCAGGCCGATCAGGAGGTGCTAGACTAGACTTTAGGCCTGTGTTCCTCACACAGACGCCATAGATGGGGCTCAGTTTTGTCCCGAAGACTCTAGGGGCTTTGCTTACTTCCTGAACACTGAGCTTGGACCCAAGGAAGTGAGCCTGTGAGCTTCTCTTTCAGAGTTACATTACCCATTTTATGTCTGGGTTTATCAGGAGTCTCCAGTTGGAGCCCTTAACTTGAGGTCTACAGGAGGAATAGAGCTTTGTTCACTGTAGGTCTGGGGAAAAGGAGACATTCTTGTCTTGGAAGAAAACAGACAGTGCACATCTGATGCCCCCAAAGTGTTGCAACTCCCCCTCCCCACAGCCGGGGAGACACTCCACATGTGAGGCTGAAGGCCAGAGTGGTGAGACTCACGGCCTTCTCTCTGGTCCCCACAGCATGTGCAACCTGCAGCCCACAGGCCAGGACCGCAACAGCCTGGCAGACCTGGACTCGCAGCTGCAGGAGCAGGAGCGCATCATCAACATTTCCTATGCTCTGGCCTCAGAGGCCTCTCAGCGCAGCAAGCAGGTAGCAGGTAAGGCCGTGGGTGCCAAGCTCCAGGGCCCAGTTCCCGCCTGCTGCTCCTAGTATGACTTGTCCTAGAGCCAGGAAGTTAGCAGGCAGGAGGAGAGCTGCCACTCAGCTCCACATTTGCCAGCGCTGAGCAAGGGGACAGGGCTCAGGTTTCTTTCCTTAGGAAGAGGGGGGCAGAAGTGATGCTGCAGCAGCAACTTCTCAGTGGGGCAGAGCACAGGGGCTCCTGATCTGTGCCTGGAAACCCTCCCTGGGCCCTCAGGCCAAAGCCACTCACCTTGTCAGTGACCCTGTGGCAGAAAGTAGCAATGGAGAATCCAGGCTTTGCCAGCCTAGCCAAAAGACTGTCACTGGTGTAAAAGCAGCCCATGGCTGTGCTATGTATGAAGGCTGCTTTAAGCACATGCCTGTAATCCCAGCTGTCAGGAAGCTGAGACAGGAGAATTGCTGCATGCATGCTATAGGCTAGCCTAGCCTGGACTACAGAGTGAGACCCGGTCACAAAGAAAACAATAAAGGAGACTCTCTGTCGGAAAAAGGACTCTGGGCTCCTTCCTCCATCCACATCTCCCTCCCTGTGGCAGCCTCACAGTTCACGCTGTGTAGTCTGTGCCCTGATGAGAGACTTTTGTGTATGTATGTGGTGGCCCTGGCCAGGTGTCCTTTAGGGATGGACGGGCAGAGGACCCAAAGTGGTGCCATCCTCTCTACTGGTCCTCTAATCCAGTTGACCAAGGATGAGGCCTGCAGGCCATGTGGCTGCTGGCCCTAGGGAGTCTGGTGTGGGGAGCAGCTTTGACATCACTTCAGGAGGCCCTGTGAGTGACAAATGACTAGAACAGATGCCAGACCTGTTCTGTCCCCGTACCCTGACCCTCCAGAGTTCCTAGAAATCTAACCTTGTGTGTTGGTTTACATCCATAATCCCAACTAGGGAGGTACAGGCGGGAGGATCAGTGTTTCAAAGTCATTCTTGAGTATACAGCAAGTTCAAGCCCAGCATGGACTACACTGAGGCCCTGTTGCAAAACAAAACCAGACTAAACCAGTCTCTGGAATGTCTGCTGTCCTTGCTCTGTTTGAGACATGTAGAGGGGCTAGAAGTGGTCTGTGTTGCCCTGTGGCTGGGACTCAGGCTGCCCCTCTTCCTGGTGACCCCAGACCTCATCTCAGCAGCCCCCGCGCCCCTCCCTGTGAGGCTGCCCCCCCCCCCCCCCCCCCCCCCCCCCCCCCGCTCTCCAAGCACCCTCCTCACAGCTGTGCTTGCTCTCTCTCTGCCTCCACCACATCTTAGGTGGTGATGGGGCTTGAACCCAGGGCCTCTGGTATGCTAGGCCCATCCACCAGTCACTGAGCTACATTCCCAGCTTGCTCTCACTCTGATTAATCCCCTTAGCTTCCTCCCACACAGCTGATGACCCCTGATCTGATGCCCTCTGTCCTACTTCACAGTCTGTACATTTCTTCCCTCGGGCTCTCTCCCCTGAATCAGAAACTACAGGCGAGCTAGGCCCCGTGGGTCTGCCCCCCACCTCCCCGGCATCACAGGCCATCAGCTGGGGGTAGGGGGCCAGGCCACACAGCCCTGGCATCACAGGCCATCAGCTGGGGGTAGGGGCCAGGCCACACAGTCCTGGCAGGCAGGGCATATGGTGGTGTGGGTGGACAAACGGCTCTAACCCACCGCTTGACTCCTGTGTGCTCTGTCCAGTGCAGCAGCTGGCCCTCCTCCCGCCTAACGCCCCCCTGTCCTCCAGGACGGTGCCACCTTATCCCCCCTTAAGCAACGGACTGCACTACACCTTTGTCTAACACCTTCCAAGTAAGAGCCCCTGCCTGGCTGTCCTGCTGCTGTGCACCCCATAGTCTGAGCATGTCCCCGCTGCCTTCCCGCTGCTGCTGCTGCTGCTGAGCTGACTGCAATGCCACCTGCTGTTGCTCCCTCCATCGGCGGCACCGCGGCCGCTGGGGACCTGCCTAGATGGTAGGCAGTTGGAGGTGACTCACTTTTTAGGAACTCTGACCTCAGGCCTCACCAGAGGCTGACATCAAAGGTGCTATTGTGTTGAAGTACCTCGGAGGAGCTTCCAACCCTTGACTTTACAAATGATGTCGCCATTTATAGAGTTCATGCTGCAGAACTGTGCAGTTGAGGTAAAAGAAAAAAAACTGCAAAAAAAAACCCTTCCAATGTTTTAAGTAAGATTAGGATTTTGTGTTGGGCTGCATCCACAGCCGTCCTAGCTCACATATAGTCTATGGGCCATGGATTGGACATGTCTTCTAGGGTCCTAGCTGCACCTGCCCATTTCTCTTTCCCGAGGCAGCTTGATGTCCCAAGGACCAGCATAGGCCACACTGCCAGTCTCCAGGGAATAGAGGAGTCAGATCTCACCCTTTCGAGACGTTTCCAAAGGGATTAAGGAACTGTTAAGTTACAGAAGACAAGATGAGACCCCAGGGGTCTCCACACAGCAAGGCCTGAGACTGTATCAGTCACTGAGAGCCTTAGGGAAGACCGAGTAAGTCCAGGTCCACAGTCCATCACGATGCTTGGTATGACTCCACGGAGTGAGTGGCTGACCCGGACAGGCAGGGGGTAAAGGACGGAGCCCCCCAGGAGCCAGCAGACCCAGCACCTAACCAGCTGTGAGTGAACTCATGGCCTGCATCAGCTGCCCCCGTCTGTATCCTCACCTGGACCCCAGAGGTCACACTAGAGGTCCCTACCCGTCTCTCGCTGTCACTTTGCAGACTTCACTTCTCTTTCCTTAACGGGGTTGCGGCTAACCTTGTTGAGAGACTACTGTATGCTAGACATTGTGCTGAGTATCTCCTTGTCCCTAAGGAGTTGAAGAGTGTGTCAGGATGCAAAGCCTTTTAGTGTGAACCCACAACTTTCATTCTCCATGACCTCAGGCTAATGGGTTCATCCGGGCCACCCCCAGAAGCTCCAGGGGTCTGCAGAAGAGGGTGAAGGAGACATCACTTTACACTGGGCCTTCTAACTTTGGACTGCCCCTGCTTCAGAATCAACAGGCCCCAGCCAGTCTGGGAGCAGGAGGAAGTCAGCTGACTTGGGCATAGCCTGGCCCTCAGGAGGGGTAGAGCAGAGGACTGGAGCTGCAGAACTCCACGGAAAGCTCCAGCTGTGTCCTTTGTAAAGTCCTACAGGACTTGCCAGGACCACAGTTACATGTCTGTTTTCTTCTCAGAAATCTGAGCAGGCAGAGGTGCCAGGGTGCCAGAGGCTCCATTTACCGTAGTTTTTCAAGCCCTGGTGGCCTTGTGCCCGGACTTAGATGTTCTCTCCAGAGCTCAGCCATGCCTCTTCCTCTCACAGCACCAGAGGCAGGTTAGAACCACTCTGTTCTTAGGTTAGAAATATGAAAGAAGAATAAAAATAAATAAACAAACAAACAAAGAAATCAAGCAAGCAAGCAAGGTTAGATGCTGGGCAATCTAATCTTCCAGAGAATGAAAGGCAGAGCCATTAACTAGCCCAGTGGATTGCCCAGGTCTTGGCCTACTGCAGAGGACAAGTTCATGAACTAGCATGAATGCAGTATGCTTTCTAGAGGTGGAAGGAAAATCAAACCCAGTGTGCTGGGTCCTAGAAGCCAAGGTCCCATGACAGCGGCCGCTTTGCTCATGCCCCCTGCTCTCCTACTCTGTCTGCCAGCCTGTCATGCCTATGCACAAACATGCCTACTCTGAGGACAGGACCAAAGGTTTGCCAGCCTCTCACTGTCTCCTGTGCTTTTCGCCAGCCCAGGCAGCAGCAGACCCATGACCCAGTGTGCAGAGGAGAAGCCTGGAGCCGGGGACCCAGCTCAACCAGCATCTTCCTGAAACAATGTCTTCTCTGCCCCAATGGAAATCCTTCCAGCTGAACGGGGGCTCTGGCTGGAGGAGAGAGCAGCCCACCCAGCCTGGTGGGCACAGCATGGAGCAAGGACTCCATCCTTACCCTGCCCATCTGTTTCAGTCCAGATTCCTTTTTACAGATGACAGAAGCACTTTTGATACACAGTGTGAAACATACTGTATTTTAGAATCAGAATATATTTTGTAATGCTCACCTCAAGGGCCAAGTGGCTGGAAAGGTGAGCCTGCAGGGTTTTGTAGCCACACACAGGGATTCAGGTACTATGGGGTGGCATAGTGGCTGGGGAGAAGAGCAGGACAGGCCGGGGCCATTCCCACCGTGAACCCAGAGAGCGGCTTCCAGTGGGTTCCAGCATGAGGCTTGTTACCATGCTCCCCAGGAAACAGGAGGCAGTTGACTGCAGAAATCAGCATCCCGCGCCAATGCCCAGCCCTGGAAACTCCACCTGGATGGCCCACAGAGCCTGTCTGTGCCTTGGTTCTGACTGAGGAGCAACTATGTGTGTTCAAGAGCGGTGGCTTCTTCAGCCTGTTGGTGAAACCGTAAAGTTCCCTCAGCAAAAAACAGTTCTTCTCGGGGAAAAAAAAAACCAAAAAAAAAAAAACAAAACAAAAGCCGCTGTGGAGATGGGAAATGTGCTGTAGCAATAAATTCCCCATTGGGTGGTATCTACATACAAAGGCCTACCCTGACGCCATCCCTCCAGCCAGGCAGGGCTGAAGGACCTCTGCTGCCCGCCTGTGGGGAGACCTAGGACAGCTTCCCTAGGACTGGTGAGGAGGGCAGGCAGGGCCAGGACACAGGCCTGTGACCTGATGCAGCCCAGCTGAGGAGGTGGCCATGCCAGACACAGTGTTCCTGGCCCCTTATTTAACTTGTCTCATGGTAGTCTACATACAGGAAGCAATGATTAGAAGAAAAAAACAAACAAAAACACCTCCGTTGGTGGAGCCACATTTTAAATGAAAATTTGTCTTTAACTATGCTTAAAAGAAAAAAAAATCCTTGAATATATTTAGAAGTTGCTTTCTATTTTTAAGTAACTCCATATGCTGCCAGTATCAACTTCATGACATTTGCCAAAATAAGATTTTATTTTTGCCTTTATAAGATTTTGTTGGAAAAAATGAAATGAATATTTTGCAAGAAAAAGTTAATTTAAATAAAAGTGTAATGGTTTGCAAAAAAAAGTGATGTACAGATTAAAATATTAACATCATCCATGTCCTCTTTTTGGCTGGCTGTGTTCATCCACCATGGCCTGAGTGCATTCTTACCATGTCAGCTCTCTGGCTCCTACTTACTATGTTCACTTTTGAAACATCCCTCTCATCAACTGCTCCTTGATATTTGAGTGACTTTGGAGGCCTGAGGTGTGAGGATCCCTGTCCCACCAGCAGGCAAGGAGCCTCAGGGCTATGGACCCCCATGTGGGACTGGTTTGGGGTGGCCAGCTCCAATTTAACCCAAGATAGCACAAGGGGTACAGTGGGCCCCCATCCAACCCGTACACTGCCTGTTCCAATTAGGCCTGTTAGTGATGGACCATTGCAAACTGGATTTGCATTTAATTCATCTTGACTTGTGATTCATGCTTAAGGCAGAAGGCTAGGGGCCAGTTTGGTTTAGGGATGTGTGCGGTTTCCAAGTTTCTGCATGGCCAAGGAGTGTGTTGGAGGTTTGGAGAAGCCTTCCAAGTATTTAAACTGGGAAAAGTGGATTCCAAGGCATTCTGGATGGGCAGAGGGGAGAACTGCTATTTTAGCCACTGATCGTTTTGAATTTAAAAATAAAAAATACTCTTCTAGTTTTAAACATTAACTGGAAATGTCACATAACAGATTAAAGCAGGGAGGGGACAATTCTGCCACTGAATGCAGTCGCCTGAAAAGGACAAAACCCCACAGTCGATGCCCTCCCCACAGGGGAGCCATCTGTAGGTGGTTTCTCAGCAGAACCACATCAGCGGGTTCGGACTGTTGCTCTTGGTTTGTGTTTCACTGCTATAGCCCTGTGTGTGAGGGAATGTGGCTGCTGTGCCTAAGGTCTCCCATCAGGGAAGGAGGTATACACTGTTCTAGGAGAGTTATGGCTTCAGCCAAACTCAGTGCAAAGCACTCAAAAAGAAAAGTCCCAGGATGGCAGTGTCTGTGTAGGTGGCACTGTGGCCTGATGCTTCTCAACCCTTTGAGAGGACTGGCTGCCTGAAGTAAGGTGAGATCATCTTGGGGCTGGGGAGACGGCTGGGTCAGGAGAGAATTTTCTACAGAAGAATGAGGAGCTGAGTTCAGTTGCTAGAAGCCAAGTTTGAAAAAGCAGGCTTGGTGGCATGCACCTGTTAATCCCAGTCCTGGAAGATGGAGCCAGGAGGATCCCTGAGCTCACACTGACTAACCAGCCTCGCTCCAGATTCAGTGAGGGATGCTGTCTCAAACAGTAAGGTAGAGGGAGCCAGAGAGATGGTGTAGGGGTCAAGAACACTGACTCTTGCAGAGGACTTGGTTTGCTTCCCAGACCCCTGTGTGGCTCACAAACCTCTGTAACTCCAATTCCAGGCTATCTGACACCCTTTTCTGACCTCCATGGACACTAGGCGCACAAGCAGTGCATATATGTACTCATAAGTAAATCTAAGCAATTGAGGAAGAAACTGGACATTAGCCTCTACCTTCTACACATGCATGTGCACCTACACACAAGTACATACAAACAGTACTTGTGCAAATGTAAAAACAAGATGGGGCTATTTGTAGACTGACTGACTAGGTACATGCACCCCATGATTAAGAACTGAGTGGCTCAGCATTTCAAAATGTATATCCTTACAGGCCCCAGGGCCTTAGCAGAGTGGTAAATAGTGGGGGATGTGAACGTGTTCTTGTGTCTATTCACTAATTACCTTTTCTCTTGCATTCATTTATTTTATGTGTGTGAATGTAGTTGCACATGTTCTGTGACTTGCATGTGGAGGTCAGAGGATAATTTATGAGATTTAACACTCCTACTATGTAGGTCTCAGGGAATCGAACTCAGGTCATCAGGCTTGGCAGCAAGAGCCTTTACCCATTAAGCCACCAGCCCTGCTCACCTCTTAACTCTGACTGTAACTTGGGCCCCAGCTGAGGCTGAGGCTATTTTGTCTAATCATGACCGGAACCAACAAGGAAATGTTAAGATCGACTGTCAAATAGAAACTGGGTATAAAATCTGCTAATCCTCAGTTGACCTTCCAGAACTGCCTGCATTTTTACCATATCCAAGGTGCCATCTGAATGAAAACACTTTATATATGGTTTGGGAAGTAGGTATGCTGGACTGAGGGAGAAGGCCTTGGTTGCCTTCACATGGACAGGGTTCTTGCAGAGTTTTCTTGACTACTTTAGGTGGTAGCTGAGGATCAGAGTGTCTTCCCACCTGTTCTCAGGGCCCTGCAGATTCTCCGGTCAGTGTGTGTGAAGGAGGATGACAGTAATGGATATAGACTCTGGCCCAGCCAGCCAGGAGCCTGTTGTGGGCTCCAGGAGTTCCCCACAGGAGCATCACAGTACCCTGTGCTAAGTCCTTTTGTGTTCTCACCAAGGGTGGGAACGAAACAGCAAATTATTTGTCTAATCCATAAAATCACATTTCTGAGACGTGGCGGGCTGATGCTGGGAGCCCTCTGCTTCAGGATCGGTATCTCACATGGGGGCTTTGCGAGGGACTTCAGGTTGTTCTGAAAAGAACAAAGGGACTAAGCTAGGGAAGACATGAAAAAATGGCAGCCCCTCCCCGCGCGGTAAACATGCCATCACTTTGCCGCCTGCACTCAAAAGGCGACCACTTTCATTGCTCCCCAAGCAAAGGAAACCTTTCTTCAGAGCGAGTGGCGGTGTACAAAGGCAGAGCACAAAATGTACGCACATCAGAGTCCCCGCAATTCTGTTTGAACAAGCATATTGATTGGGCCTGACCCTGTTACATTTTTTCCCTATTATTTGAAAAGGTGCATCTAAGTGTAGTGAATTGAATCAACGGGACTGAACTTTCCATGAGAACTTCTCGAGGTATTTCTTTAGTTCAAAGCTTTTGAATTTTAAAGGGCATTTTTAATATGAATCTGTTGAGTATTCTTTGCCACAGCCCAACAAGGCATGTTAAATGCAGATGAGACTGGAGGAGGAGGCTAGGAGTGTGGGTAGAGCTGGGGGTGAAGGGTGTGGACCAACCCTGCTGTGTGGGAGAGCCAGGCTTTGCAGAGAGGGTAAATGCAGGTTGGGGAACAGCATAGACCCTAAATGGGACCTTTCTGAGTACATGAGTCCAGCTTAGCTCCAGGAGAGCAATCTCAGCTCTTCCATGGAGGAGGCCTGTGTGCTGCTCAGCTGCTCACTGTCCCACATTCTTATGAAGCTGAGAAGGAACTAGGCAGGCAAAGTCCCTTAGCTGAGGTCCCAGTTTGAGTGACCACACCTTGCCAATGTCCCCCAGCCCTGAGCAGACCTCTTCAGTCTGTGACAGGGGCTCTCCTGAGCTCTGAGTTATGTCTTAATCCTTCATGGTTTAGGGTCTTGGGCGTTTTGCTATTTGTGTGAATCTCTTGTGTCATTCCAGCCCTGGTCCCCAGAACCATCTAGTGGCCTCATTCTTCTCAAACATAGTTAAGAGACTCTTGGTCCACTTCAGGTTCATGCCTTCCACTTTAAATTAATAATAATACTACTATTATGTGTATGATTGTTTCGCATGTGTGGGTATGTGTACCACATGTGCAATGCTGGAAGAGGCCAGAAGAGGACATTGGATCCCCTGGAATAGGAGTTACAGACAGTCGGGAGCTGTTGTGTGGGTACCGGGAGTCAAACCAGCTCCTTTGGAGAGCAGCCAACACTCTTACACTGTACCACCTCTCCAGCCCCCCTCATGGCTCCTTCTGACCAAGTTCCTGGCTCCTTGTTGGTCTGAGTTTCTGTTTGACTCTGGAGGCTTTTGACTCTCAAAAGTATTTTCTTCCTAGACCCAGTGTTTAGGCTCAGAGGCAGAATCACCCCAGAGGAGCCGATAAGACCAGCCCTCCCTACACCTAAAGAATGTGGGGTGCCAACATCTCCGCAAAGTCCTCTGGGCAAAATTACTACTTCAAAGACAGTGGCCAGGGGGAGTCGCTGTAAGGTCAGAATCACTGCAAAACTTGGCCCTTTGTGCCTGTCTTTACTCATGAAGGCAGGAGCCATACCCACTTCAGTCCAGTGCCCGCCCCCAAACACCTTGTCCTGCTAGCCTCTGACACCTCAATTCATCCACACACTTGTTTTCTTGGCTTTCACGTTCAGGCCTCCTGTTGTGATCAGTGTTTCTCGGACCACAGTAGCCAGTGAGAGCAACAGTAACAAGTCCTTGTGTCTCCATTGGTCTGTTCCCCAGGGGGTGCCTTGCCAGCACCCCCTAGTCCTTCCTGGGAGTCAATGGGTATCCCTGGCTGAGTGCACTATAGTTCACTCCAGCTTGAGTTCCCCAACTGTCAACTTCTGCTGGCTGGGAAAGTGCTCCAGGATGGCCTCTCATCCCTTCCTGGCTTGTGGTCATCTCCCCAAGCTGCAGCCCTTGGAGGGACCAGAGCATCGTTTTCTTTATAAATCGTTATCCCCATCCCAGCCAAGCTCATGGTGCACACATAAGGGAGAAGTTTTGCTGCTGCTCTGGTTCTATCTCTTGGCCCCAAAGCAAGGCTGAGAGGTTGCAGACAACTTCCTCAGCACTGCCTGGGTCCTTTTTCTTTGAGCTTGGCAACTGCCTCAGTATCTCTCCCTGCTCAGGGATCACTCCCTTTCAAGTAGCTACTGCTGTGTGGTCAAGCATCCCAAACTTAGTGGTTTAACACCATAGTTAATTATCTGTCATGATTATGCAATTGTCCAGGCTCATCAGCTGGGCAAATTTTCAGCTCCATATAGTAGAGACAGGCAGTAGATTGTCTGAGGTGGCTTTTTCACTTTGGTGGCATTGCAATGGGGATGTCTGGATAAAATGGGATGGTTGAGCGTCCACCTCTACCCAAGACTCCTCATGTGACTGCTTACACTTTCTTACAACATGGAGGTCTTGGGAGAGATGGGTTTCTCACCTGAGCTGGTTCCCTAGGGAATCTAGACTGCCAGGCCTTTAAAATTCAGGCCTGAGCCAGGCATGGTAGCATGTACCTGTATCCCAGCGCTTGAGAGGCTGAGGCAGGAGAATTGT